GGGAAATCTCTTCTGACACACTTTCGTGTGAAGCAAATTAAAATAATTAAATACTCAAGTTCAGGAGTTTGGGAGTTGTCGAAAAAATGGCAGGAGATGTGCCTGTATACGCTTCCAAACTTCCACAGTATAAGTTTATAAAAGAGTTTTTACAAAATAACGACAATTAGTAAACAATTCCGAAAGAATACAAAATTATACATAATTTTAGATAATATTTTTTATATGGTTGTTATTAAATAACAACGGAAATGGAAGCTAACTTTGGCAAGCCGAAATTGGGAATATAACAGCTATAAGTTATAGTCAACTTAAGGGATAGATCCGAAATAACATTTTACAAAAAACACCAAGTAAACAACCAAATTTAGAAAATGTTTCGGAAACTTTTTAAAAAAAATCTTTTCACAGTCATTCGATTTTCACCAAGCTGCATGGTTTGCCACAAAAATGTAGAGATATGCAAAAATGTCTTAAAAAACAACAAATTTGGCAAATTCGACAGCGCCATTTATAAACTTCATCTGCGTCCACATATAAAAAAATATGATGTAAAATGCGAAAATCGGTAACGAAAAAAATACACATATTTCCAAATCAACTTGAAATCGATAGCTTAGGTCCTCAGGTCCGAGTAATTTTTTGCCTAATTAAGAGCAAACAAAACAGAATAAATATCGTTGTCAATGTTGGAATGTAATTTTGTCGAAAATTTCTTCCTTCCTGCGTTACAAACTGGGAATATTAACCAAACAATATTAAGCAATACAAATGTTTTCTGGAATCCTATTCTGATTAGAGTTGAACAAAATCACAACAGTTCCATGGTCTTATATCAGTGTTTTCATAATTTTCGTCATTTAGATTTTTTTTAAATTTAATGTACAAGTAAATTTTTTTTTCTATTTGTGTTAAGGCCATTCCTTGCCTCAATATTTAGTCAATGTTCTCAATGCACATGTTATCATATTTAATTTTATAAGCTAGTTCTATTAGTAGACCATAAAGCTTACACCGAACTAGTTGACTGGTTAAGTCGCAAGAAGATTAAATGAGTCTTAAATGCTTTTCTCTAAACTTGGAAAATAGCTCAGAAAACGTATAAAACTCATTCGCAAAAGAAATGTGAAGGCCTGACCAAAGTATTTAGCTATAGGCCACAAACGAAAGGCCGGAAAGAGGGGACTTGGTAGAGAGGAAAAGAACAAGGGCAAAAGCATAACAGAATCAGGGCCAGACAAACTTACTTGATGGACGTCATCAGCAGGCTCAGAAGGGCCGACTTGTCACGTTTTTGTGGCCCCATCTCCGTCTCACTCGCCGTCTCCATATCGCCCTCTCTTTCGCCACCCCTGTCTCCGTCTCTTTCGAATTCCCTGTGTGTTTAATGACAGGACAGCTGCAATCTGGTGCAATGCTATCTATTAATTATGGCACAAACTCTCACAAATTGAGTTTTATTTCCACTGAAGTGGATATTCATTTGCATATCACTCATACGCCAAGTGCGCAATGCCAGGCCACAAATTGGCCGAGCTGCAAGTGGCAAATCGTTGACAATACAATCCAAATGGAATAAAGTCTTCCGTTCCCCCCAGATTGAGTCCTTCTCGCACCGGCTTAGCCTTCGGGCTTTGTGTCCACTCGGTCTTGGTTACCAGGAAAATCCAGTGAGAGACATGATTAAATTATCGTTGACTTTTGTTGCACCAGCACCAGCATCAGCCCCAGCTGCCGACAATCGAAATCGAATCGAAGACAAACGGGGTGGGAACCGGCAACAGGGAACAGGGAATGGGGAATGGGGCTGGGAATATGGCATAAGGTATAAGAAACTTGTCATGCGGTTGCTCCTGCTCCTGCTCCTGCTCCCCTCGGCCAAATCAGATTAGTTGCTGGGATTCGTCGGGGACTTATTGTGTGCATATTGCAAATATACTTTTGTGCTACTGTGATTGCCTTGGCTACCATTTACTCAAAGCCTTATTGCATTTTTGGTATTAGAAAAAATGAACCGAATTGCGCATATTTTTATTATTGTCCAATGAGATTTATTGATTACTCGAGGAATATCTGAGATTATTGATTGATTATGAATAAATCCCCCTGCATTATCCAAATTGATCTTTTTGAGTATATGAATTTGAGACTAATCAGTTGGGCAATTTTAGTTTAGTAAAATTGGAAGAGGTTTTAAAACTGCAGCACTCATCGTCTAACCTGTTGCATTTTGCCATGGCCTCTTGAATTTTAATGAAAAGTGCACTTATGGGTTTATCGGAACATGAGGTCTTGTTTCAGCATCATTCTTCATTCATTTTTTGTTAGGAAACGCTTTTAGGATTTTCGAAAACTACAACGTTAAGCCTTTAGGTGTTTAGAAGCTTCTTAAAGCTTACCCACATACAGGTTAAGCATTAAGAATAAAACAGTGTTTGAATATGCTGCAGTTTTTGAGCAGCAATTTGGGAACTGCGTTTTATCATTTGATTGTCGTGATTATGCTTATTAAGTAGTCAGAGTTGCCATCATTATGCATGCAACAAACGATGCACATCCTCCTCTATCTATTTTGCTCTCGCTCGCCTACACACTCATAGCCACATGCATCAGTAGAGTTGTCTCGCTCTAGATTTGTCTCCTCTCACTCTTCTCTTGGTTAAATCGGTGATGTGAAAAGCTCACACTCTTTCTCTGTCTTTAAATCAACATCTTTCTCTCTCTATCTCTATATCTCCTTCTCTTTCTCTCTCTCTCTCTCTACTCTATCTATATCTCTCCCTTTCTCTCTCTCTCTCTTCTGCCTGTCTTCTCTTTCTGTTTGTGCTTCATCCACAGGACGTGCCCGCGTTGAGTGACGGAATTTATCACATTGATTCCTTTATACTGGATGCACCGAAGAGCGCGATTTTCGTGGGATTACAAAATGATTTCATGTGCGATTTCTCGTACTCATCGGACGGGCAGTTGGCGCCCAACGTGGGGCACGATGCCCGAGATGAGCAGGCAGTTGGTGGCGACTCCGACTTTGATTCGCAAATGGATTCGCCCAAGCAGGCCTGTGACTGTGATTTCGATTTGGATGTGGATGTGGATGTAGACGCAGACGTGGCCCAGCAAATGGAAATGGAAATGGAGGAAGAGGAGGAGGAGGAGCAGGAGGAGGAGCAGCAGGCGGAGGATCAGGAGTACGACGATGGCATCGGTTTCAGCTGCGACAGCGACAGCGCCCTCACCCTGCCCGAAGATGACGATGAGTTCGTCCTGGTCACCGGGCTGTGCCTGCCGCCGAGCAACTCCAGCCACTCGTGCAGCAGCTCGATGCAGTACAGCAGCGGATCGAGCGGCGGAACGGTGGCCATCAGCTCGTCCGCCTCCATGGAATTGGACATGGTCCTGACCCCGCCACCGCCACCGGCCCTGGCGAAACCCAAGTCCACCACCGCCCATCCCCTCAAGTTCCTGCACAAAATCATCTAAAAAAGAATGCAACTCGAAATTTATTCGCTCACGTTCTGCGGTACTGGTGATGGCGGGTGGTCTCTGACCACCTGCTGCTGCTGCTGCTGCAGGCGAATCTGCACGGACGTCATTAAAATCAGGCTGGCAAAATTCGCAAGAAAGAAATCCGATATCGAACCCATTCCCCCTGTGGCCCGACCTTCGTTTCTGCCCCCGTCGTTCGTGCTGAGTTCACCGCAAACCCAAAATCAGAACAAAATCAAATCCTGGTCCTTGGGGAGTTATGTAGTTGGTTGGGCGCCATTCTCCCCTCATTAATTTAAGCTGCTAATTGTAGGACGGGGATATCCCAGATATGCCCCAGTTAGGTAGGAATGCTCAATGCGACATTGGGCGAACATAGTTAACAGTATTATGGATATAACCTCATTAAAAGGCTTACAGTTTTTAGAAATTATTATGCGAAAGTAGTGGCAACCCAGGTGGATCAAATATAAACAGAAAAAATAATGAACCTTGCATCTTGGCTGAAATGGAGGTCAAATAAAGTTTGATTCATTTTTGCAGTCCACTTTTTTTAATTCTAAGTAGTTTTTGCAATATTGTAATAGTTTAATGTTCCCATTGGACAATCGTGCAATCCAAAGTGAAGTACATAGTTAACTGTTGGCTAAACGAATGGCTGCCAAAAACAAATACCGCACAAAGGCTATACATATATATATGGAAAATGGAAAATAAATATAAAACAAAATTAAATGTGTACCGTCAGATCATTTGACTGTGAACTTTGGAAATCAATTACTATTTGGCTTTGGTCCGAAGAGGCAAAGAAATAAGAAACGAGGCAAAGGTACTCGCATTTCCTTAGCGATTTGCATTGCATTTATCTCGTCCTTCCATTATATTCCTTTTCAACGAGGGAGTAATTCTACAATAAGAAAGAAAAGTAATTGGCAAGGGAGACTGAAAGGTGCACCCAATGTTTGCCTTGTATTCCATTATGAATGCAATTTGAGGTGGTTTTCAGCTGGGTGGTTGGTGGCCATCAAGATTTGCACTGACTGCTGGCTGGCTGGCGGATGCAGTGCGTCCTTCATTATTCTGAATTTACGTATTAACACTTCCTTTTATGCAGGCCATCAAGTGCATCCCCCGGCAGGATTTACATACCCCTGAACCTCCCCCCCCCACACTTTCCCCCACACACACACAATCGAAGTATTAATGGCTGAATTTAAAAAGAGAGAGAGGGGGGGCGGCACCAGGGGCGGCTGGCTTAATTGCTCTGCCACGCCGCCCTTTTTCAGGCCCTCCTCATAATCCACAGTGCAGTGGGCTTTAAGGATATAATATAACGCGCTCTGCAGGCTCTCTCGATTGCAAAATCGAGCTTCACCCAGCTTCCCGCCCCCCTTCCTTGCCAAATTAATTGAAAATATTTATTGTTATGCTTATTACACCGGTCTTACCTCTCTCTCTCTCTCTTTCTGTTTATATCTCTCCCTCTCTGACCATATATCCTTGTGTTCCTGCAGGAGCACATCAGGGAGTCGAAGGAGAGCAAGCTGGACGAGATGGGCCACAACTCTAAAGGTCGTTCGAGGGAGAACATATCCAGGTGAGTCCTCCTACCGATTTCCACACCCAATTCCCAATTGAAGCTCTAGAAGGCAGTGCCTAATTGACAGCGCCCTAATGCATTACGTATCCGCACTGTGTGCACTAATGATGCACGCTGCAGTGGCTCATTGTCGGATTTTTAAAAATGCCGTGCATTTATACCGGCTTACCAGTTGTAAGCTGTCAGTCTTGAAACTAATGAGATATTTGCTTAATATACATATTTTTTTACAGACATTTGAATGATGTTGTGTAATGAAACGTCTACTTGAGCTTAAAAATTATAAATTGGTCGGCGTTAAATTGAGTTCCAATGAACTTGACATTGTCAATTGAATAATACGAAATATAAGTTCTTAATTAATTAAACATTTATATTTCTTAGAAAATAAATAAATAATACTATTTTTATCAAATATTAAATAATATATAAATGCTATTACCATTTAACCTTAATGAGGCTTGCCTAAACTAAAAATTATTATCAGTAATCGTTTGTCAAAGCAAAAAATTAATGTTTGTGGACCTATTTTGAGTAATATTACTAGACTAAAACACTTTACATTCTTAAAATGTGATTCTCCGTAAGGACAGAAGCTTTAGCTTACCAAAAACTTGCATTTATCCCCCCAGAAATTTTGTGAATTCCCAGAGCTAGCGTTATCCTCGATAGACCACTGAAATTTCCGGCATTTAATCCTGGTTTTTCCGCCCCGCAGGCAAAAGCACTCGCAGACATCGCTGCAGATCCTGGACGACGTCTCGAACCGATACTACCGCGAGGCGGTCCCATTGTCCTCGCAGTCGAGCAAGGCGGACTTCAAGGAGAAGGAGCACAGCATCCTGCGCCGGCACGCGGACATGACCCAAACCAGTCTCTGCGGCGTCGGCGAGGATGACGGCGAATCCAGCTCCACGACCACGGCCACCCACGAGCTGATGACAAAGGCGGCCATGTCGACGGTGCCCTCTAATGCCTGCGACATGGGCTGTCAGACGAGGTGAGTCCCAGTCCCAGTTCCAGTTCCAGTTCCCATCCCGATCCCGATTCCCATTCACGAATGTGTGCAGTCAAATAGATGCCAGAAAATTGCAAAGTCAACGGCGGACAAACACTAAAAACAATGACAATGTTGGAGACCGGTTTAAGTTCCGGAATCCAGGATGCGACAGTGGGGGGCTATTTGAACGTCGCTCGAACAACACAAATCGATGCAAATATTTGTATTTGCATGCGTCTTTATTGGATATAGGCGACAGGTCCCGAACAGTCGGAGTCGCCGGAGTCGGGAATGTGGGTTAGCAGGATGGCGGAATGGCAGGATGGGAGGATGGGAGGATGGGAGGATGCCAGGATACCAGGATGGGCCGACAGCCAGACAGACAGACATGGGCACTGACAGGCGGAATGCAGTGACACAATGCCGACGTGCCCAGATGAAGATGATTCATGCCACCGAATAGTGATGGGAACGAGTCACTGTCACTGTCACTGTCACAGCCAAACTGCCACAGGTTGTTCGGGGTGATTTATTAGAGGGTTGGCATTTATCTATGGGTGGCATGTGTGAAAATGCCGCAGTACAGATTCTAATGTCTCAGATTAAAGTGATTTAGATTAAGATACAAATTTTGGTTTTGTTTCCTAAAAACCATAGCCGCAGATTGTTTGCTTGTTACTCTTACTTACACAATTGCTTGCCTAATTTGATCAAATTTTATATTGTTTGGAAAAGAGATTATTATGCCCCAAGCTAAAGAGCTATAAGTGATGTGTAAATATTGTTAATGTGAAAACAAATTCAATTGTTAATTTTTATAGTGTTTAACTTTGATTGGATTAATAAAAAATAAATGTTGCATTTTCTATTGTATTGTATCTTGTTGTTTTTATTCTTATTAAATTGCATTGTGTTCTTTTTATTCTTGTTAAATTGTATTGTTTCTTTTCCAACACTAACACAAATGATTTATTTAAAAATTTGATAAATACAACTAACATGATTTTTGATATTATTTTATACCATTTTTTAAATTTCTTTGTGGCTATGCGATTTATAGCATATATGGTGTGTATCACTAACTCAGAGGGCATTTAAAATTAGCAATAAATAGACAAATTTATATTTCTACTATATAAATTCGTATAGTTTGTTGGTATATTTAGTAATTGTGGGAAAATTGAGGAGGTCACTGGACAGCACTGGCAATGTGATAGATAGTTATCTGTCAACGGGATCCTGTTTGTAGACCATATGCTTTCACGTCCATCTGACGGATTCAATTCAGCTGATTGGCGCACACCACTGTGTCACAATCTCCCTATCCCGCGGCAACACAGTCACCTTTGAGCTTACCGATGCCGCTCATCTGTATCATTTCTCTAGCCCACACTAATAAAAAAAAGTTTATTTACATGGACTTAACAATTAAATTTGTATAAAACACTTTTAGGGATTTTAATGCTTCCATCAGTAAATATTAACTAAAATTAATAAGAGTTTGCTCAGAACCACCTTAACTTTATTAACGATAGTTTGATTTTTTAAAAGTTTGGAGTTACTTTTTGTTGGCTTGTGTAAAATTGATTTAATGAAATTAATAAAAGAAATACAATTTAACAGAGGATTAAGGCTCTTAACTATTTAGTTATTACTTCTTAATTTTATTGATTAAATTATAATTTTTTAATTAATGTTAGTACAAGCCCAGTTGTTTATTTAATTTATTTAGAATTTTGGCGCAAAGTGTTGCATACTTTTGAGGCTTTAAACTACCATATCAAGCATGTTAGTAATGACAATAAGCGGGTCTTAGATGTATATTCCATCTATGAGGAAATACCTGCAATTGAGCCTTTGCTTTCATGGAAAGCGATTTAATTTAAGTACAATCTGACTTAAGCCTGGCTTTTTACAGTGTCCTTTCAACCGATTGCCTTCGTGTTTGACTGACAAATATTAAAACCTTTCACTTTGCTTTCTCCCCGCTCTGTTTCGTCCTCCCCTTTCTCCACCTCAGGGAATCGCTGTTCGTCAACAGTCCCGGGATTGGACCGTCGGCGAGTGCTGGTGTTGGTGTTGCCGTTGGCATTGGTTATGCTGCTGCTCCCGGCGGCGGTGTCGCCACGCTAATGAGACAAAAGTCCAGCTCCTCCTCGCTGGGCGGCAACAGTGGCAACGGAGGCGGGGCCATGATGATGCCTCCGCCGCCGCCGCGCTTCTTTTCCACCTTTGGCTATGAGCCATCGGGATCGCCGGCGGTGGCAACGCTGACGAGGCGCAGCATGCACCAGCAGCAGCAGCAACACCAGCAACATCAGCAACATCAGCAGCAGCAACATCACCAGCTGCCGCGCCAGGAGTCCATGGAGATGGAGGAGCGACACAGCGGCCGCTCGCACTACGGCGGACTGATAGTGGCATCGACGGCCAAGCCGCCGCAGGAGAATTGCCACCATCATCACCAGCACCAACAGCAGCCGCAGCAGCATGCACAGCAGCAACATGCACAGCAGCAACACGCCCAGCAGCAACAGCAGCAGCAGCGCCTGCATCATGCACATCCCCATCCGCCGAGTATTGCTGCCCGGCTGCCCACGATGAAGGGGCACGGGGCCATGGGACAGACAACGATCCTGCCCGGCGGCAACAAGCAGCAGCAGCAGCAACAGCATCTGCAGCAGCAACATCAGCAGAAGAACGAGGAGTCCAAAGTGTTCATCGACATACGGAATTCAGCACCAGACGTGATTATCATGACGTCCCATTGACATTTAGGGATGGCCCGCCAATCAGCAACAACAACGGTAGAGAACAAGAGCAACAGCAACAGCAAAAGCAACAATATGAGCAACAACAGGAGCAACACCATGAGCAACAGCAACATCGGCGGAAGGAGGACGCGTTACAGCAACTGGACATCGGCCAACATATTAACCGCAGCCGCAGCGTCGCTGATGACACAACAAGGACACGAAGAAGGCGTCGCGTTGCAATCAGCCAGGGGGGTGGTGGTGTTGGTGTTCTTTTTTTCACAGACCCACTTTGCCACTCCCACTTCGCCGCCCACATCCGGTTTGCATTCCGTTGCACTCGTTTCGCGCTTCCTTTTTTCTTCCTTTTTAAAGTGAGGTGAGTGCGGTCTTTTAAATTGCCGCAGTTAAGAGTTTCTGCATTGAAAACTCCTAACATTTTCTGTAACCATTTATTTTTTTAAGATTTTAAAACGATTCTATATAATTGGCTATTTGTGGGAACTAGCTTTGAATATTATGAGGTGCCATCAGTTTGTATATACAGTTGCGTTAAAAATAATAATGGTTTTTAAATTCAACTCCAATCATCAATAATTCACTGAAATATTTTTATCTCATTGGCTTTATGAATAAATTCGAAAGTGTATATAGTTTATATTTATAAATTTGTTTACCAATTAACTAAGAGTTTGATCAGTACTTGTTAAGTAATAAAATGAACACAAATTATTTACGTAGCTTAAATATATAAGATAGTTAAAAAAAATTTAATAAAAAACTCATTAAAATCACCATTTTTATATATGTTTTTTGAGCTCAGCTCTTTTGTATTTCTAATGGATTGATAGAAAATCGGATTATTTTTATTAAATATTATATGTTACAATTCTATTTAAAACTACTCTTAATTTTATCTCCTAAATTCTATTATATTTTTGGTAGAATACAAAATTATTATTATTATCTTTAACGCAACTGTATGTGTAAATACAAAGGAAAATATATCACTTGAAAGCACAATATATGAGACAATGGTTTAGCTAATTGAATTTAGAAAGTTTTCCTAAACAGAAAGTTATGTAAGATTTACTTCCCAATTCCCGCACCTCATATGTGCTATGCCACACCCAAATCGGTCTTAACAAATTTAAGCGAGGGCCAATTGAAGGTCTTTAAGACGAACTAAGAGCCACTAATAGCCCGGCTGCCACTGGGGCTGACTGGGCGAGACAAATGGAAGATGTGTCGGTCCGTTGCCTCGGCCAGCCCCTTTGCGATAGCCAGTCGGGGAAATGGAATGGCGGAACGGAGGGTCCTGGGAAAGGATAACCCGGAGAGCTGTTCCATTTGTTGTAGCCGGCGGACCGCAATTGCTGGCGACATTTGCCGGACATTCTACGGCTGCGACAGCGGCATTTTCAGCTCGAAAACAATGCGAGCGCAGGACACAGATGCGGATGTGGATGCGGATGTGGATGCGGATACAAATACGGGGCAGTGGGCAGTGGGCATGTGCAGACAGTAAGCAGACCGCTGACAACGTCGCGTATGAGCAACATGTCCCAGAACATTGTTATCGGACTCACACTCCTCCCACCAGCCCACCTTTCCATTTCCCACTTTCCCCCAGCATGTTTGCTGCTTGGAAAAATGCTCGACAGGAACTTCTTCATTTACATGCATTGCGGACATGGTCACGTGGTCCATTTCACGACGATGTCGCGACCAGAGTCCATCCATCACGGGCACGTGCTCCAAGCTCCATTTCGGGCTGGGGCTTGGGTTTGTGTTGTGGGTTTGTAGGGGATCTGCTTTCGGATCCGCAACTCCCGACAAGCAATTTGAGTGAAAATAGTTTTTTAAGTGATTTCGGAGTATTTCACTTTGCTAGATTAAAAAAGGGCCAAGTCAAGTCCTCTTTTTTAACCCATTAATTGCCCGGCAGCCAAACATTCAACGAAAAAAAATATTTTCCTATGTCGCTTGCCCTATAAAATCTTTATATTACAACACGAAATAAAATTAATAATGGGACATATTGTTAAAAAAAACTTCAAATATTTGACATTTTAAAATTATATTAATTCTAATTCCAACGGATTAGTTTTATTCTACAGTTCATAAAACTGTCAACTGTCAAAACTGTCGGTTATGTACGAAGTAAGAACGAATTTACAAACCTTTTAGGCCATGATAATTTGCTGAGTAAATTGTCTCTAGAATAGATTATTAATATTTTATTTTTTTCTGTGTTCAAACGGAATATCAATAGACACAGCAAATTGAATAGAAGCCATTTTAAAAAGATAACATTTAAACTGTCGTTGATTTTCATGCAGTATGCTGTGGGTTAACCAAGGACCTCGGCAATCTTTTCAGTTCATCGGACATCTAAATCCCTTTCAATTAGATAAATTAGCTGGCCACAGATTTCTCCGCACCTGTAAAAAGTTTCCCCACTCACCAGCGGACAGATCCGGAATCCAGAGTCTGGAATCTGGAATCCGTCGGTTCGCAATTAGCGTGGTTACCGTAATGCGGTTGGATTTGGGTTGTGGTTGGCCGGGATCATCCTGGCGGTTTGAGTGGTTTGAGTGGTTCCGATGGTGTAAATATTGTCGCAGCTGGCCAAAAAAGGTGGGGAGTGGCTGCTGAAAAAATAAAGATGACAATGACAATGAACGAGGGAGGGGGTGGAAAATCCATTTGATTGATTGAATTTAAAGACCAGCGACAGCATCGCGGCAAAACGGGGAAAATTACAAGACCGATGTCTGATAATGATAATGGTGATGATGATGGTGCAGTGTTGCAGCTTTTATTTTTCTACCCTAGTGAAAACTCAAATCATTAGAGTGATTAAAGGTCGAGCAGACATGACACGAGTTCCTTTGACTTGATTCGGAGACCCTCGTCATCTTGAGCCCTCAAATCAGTCATTGAAAATTCGTGAACTCTTAAATCTTCAATGAATAAAAAATCTACAAAAAATAGAAAGCCAACAAAATGATTTTAGCCTATTGTACATTTTGTTCGCTAGAAAAATGTACACTTCTATTTCTTGTTTACCAGTTCACACCTCAATTTTGCATATTATTACCCTTATCATCTTGAGCTCTAAAGTCAGTCATGGAAACAACTAAAAGTAAGGACTGACCCAAAATATTTCGTGAAATATTAAACACAAGTTTAACGCTAACAAAGTGAATTCAACGGATTGTAAATTTTGTATAAGACACACTGCGAATATCAACTTTCCAAACTCTCGCCTCTATTATGCATAACATTTATTTTGAAAAGCCGTGGCTTTACTCGAAACCAACTCTCATCACATTGTGCTTGAAAAAATGTCATGAAAAAATGCACAGTCTCTTATATCCTGAAGAAATCCAATAAAAAATGAAATTAAAAATGAATTTAATCAATTATAAATTTTGTTCTAGGAAAATATTCAATACTCTAATTTGTTAACCTCTTTAAAAATATGTTAAGAACCAGTGAATACCTGTTCCAATTATAGAAAAAATTCATAGTTCTCTTAACTAAATAATTTCTTGACAACTTTATTTAAGGGCACGGAAATGTGTTCCGTTTGTACATAAAACTACGAAAATGTAAGATTGTTTTTAGGCTTAAACGTGAACTATTTTTAATTGTTAAATGATTTTTTTGGCTTTGTTACAACCCTGAGAAACATAGAAAACTTTTTCTAGCTAAAATTTAAGATGAAATTTAGCGATTTTACTAAAAGCAGCATAAAGAAACTATACTAATGGAAAAAACTAAAACAAAAGAACAAAAAAAATGGAAATCGATGTGTACTATAAGTCATCTATGCCTAGGATTAAGTTAAATGTACGATAATTTTTTTTTTTATAAAAACATATACATAAATACTGAAAGTATCAAAATGAACTACAGAGAAACCCAACAAAAAATATTTCAAAACTTGTCTTTTTTTTCAAAATGACTGCAAGCATTGTAGTTGTAAATTGTCGAGCGACAAAAAAATGTTTACACAAAACGAGCATTAAATAAATACTTAAATAAATGCTTCGAAATGTATGGATTTAAATGAATATGGCGAAGTAGATAAGAGAGCGGAATTGTGTGTGAGGATTTGTGAGTGTTTGACTGCGTGTAAAATAAGCCCCAAAGCGATTGAATAAAAATTAATTTTTGTGGAAACGTGAACAGTGGTTGTGTTGTCTTGATTCCTGGAAGGTGGCACTGCACTCGCTCCGCTCTTTTCGCCCGAAAATATGCCATTAGCCGGTGAAGTCGGCCCGAAAGTAGACGGCACTCGAGTGTGGATAAACACGGAGCACGGCGGAGGCAATCGGATGACCCAATTAGAGGGGAGCACACAACTCCCATACACATTTACATTTGGCCGGAGTGGACCGCCCGGAGGCGCACAATCACGGCCGAAACGAGTCGCATAATTATGCGGGGTATCATGGCAGACGCGGTTGTTATGGGCTCTCTGAGAAGTTGGTAACAGGCCTCATGGAGTCACGTGCTTAACGTTCTGCAATTATGGGTTTTCCAATTTATTACTCCCTAGAAACTATCATATATCCTCTTTTTCCTTTACACTCATAACTGATAGAAAAATGAATGATTATATCTTATTACCCTTCATTATCTTATTAATTTGTATCGATTACAGCTTCATAGTACTATTAGTGTACCACAGCTTTAATTCTATACATATTGAAACAATTCATATTTATTTAATTCATTTTCTCCTAGCTTTATCATTTTAATTCAAGTTAAGACATAAGTCACATTTGGATTGCAGTGTCGTATATTGTTTTCCCCTTTCTCAGCCCCTGGAAATTGAATAAATATTTACTGTGATTTGTAGCAAATGGCGTTTCATTTTGGAATACTCCAGCAATTATCTCTAGTATCGGCGAGTCCAAAGCGTTCTTGGTGGCTCGTATCTGCCGGATACCTGGTCTCGTATCGGAATCTGGAACTCGCTGTGCGAAATGCAAATTGCCGCGCGCATCGCTTTTGTTTTCCATAGATTTATGCACTCGGCCGATGCTGCGGCTGATTTGTGGTCAGCCGTGTGAATGGCCAGCTCATCCCAGCCATATAAGAGTGAACCCCGCCGGAGGGGACAGTAGTCGCAGTCCGAAGCCCCCAAGATGCCATCGAGTCGGTATCAGACCATGCTGCAGATCACCCTGTTGCTCTGTTCCGCCCTGCTCCTCGTCGCTGGCCAGAGGATTCCGGTTCGAGCACCGCCGCAGGATCTACAGGTGCCCAACTTTGGGGGCGAGAGCTTCGAGAGATTCGCCGGCAGCTCCCGATCCGCATCCGCATCCGAATCCGGATCTTCATCGGGATCAAGCAGTGGGAGCAGCGAGAGCCAGGAAACCAGCGGGGAGATGCGGGAGCAGCTGAAGCAGCTCCTGGGCGACCAGCTGTCCACCGCCTTCGCCTCCCTGACCACCACCCCCTTTTCCCGGCGACAACCGGCCATTGTGGCACCCACTTCCGGGGCAGCGGCCCGCACACAGTTCGCCACCGATGATGCGGACGGAGATCAGGATCAGGACACGAATGAAGAGGAGTCCCCGGAGGAAGAGGGCGGCGCCGAGGAGGAGGGCGGGCCCGAGGAGGAGCAGGCCACTCCTCAACCGCAGCCTGTGGCACCACCTCTTCCGCAGCCTGCGGGCGCCGAGGAGGAGCAGACTGGCGGTCAGGAGGGGCAGACTGGCGGTCAGGAGGAGCTGACTGGCGGTCTGGAGGAAGCCGAGGACTACAATGCCTGGCGCGACAACTTCTACGACCTCAACGAAGACGGCAGCTACATCTTTGGGTAAGTTGGCAAGGCACAAGCCGTTACCATGACCATAAAAAAGGATTAACTAGTAAGTCCGAAATGGAAACTGGCGATTGCATTATCTTTCTAATGGCTTTTCTAAGCCTTTTTCTTATTTTTGGCAATTTGAGATTAATATTAATTTAAAAGTTCGACATATAATGACTTAAGTTTAAGGAAAATGTGGCTATAGAATTTTGAATTCATTTTTTTGGTAACTCACAACTAAATTTAAAACTTTGTTATTTGTTTATGCAATTAAATGGTCAGTATTGCATTTTAAAACTCAAACTTTTTTAATTATTTTATGCTAGAAATAAGTAACCTTTTTTATTTGATTTTAAGTGTATAAACTAGTTTTAGCTTTGATAGAAACAACCTCCTGCTCCTGATTCAAAATGCTAGTAAGCAAACATTTCATTTAAAAAACGAAACTTCTCCCAACTCTATTTTGAATACACAACTTGGTGGTTATATTTTAAATTTAACAAATACCTTTTAATTGTCCAGTTACTCCATTCCGCATGGCGTTCGTCGCTGGGAGAAGGGTTTCTATTCGGAGGAGCAGCATGGGAAGGTGGTCGAGGGCTTCTACGTCCAGCCTCGTCACCTTTTCCAGGGATTGAGATACGAGTTGCGATGCTACAGATCCGATGCCAATGGCTACCAGCCACTGCCAGGTGGGTAACTTAATATAGCATAAATATAAATAATTACAAGTGAATTCCTATATAGTTGAGTTTCTGACGACGCCGCCAATTGTGAGGCGCGATGAGGTGCCCCAGGTTAATTGCTTTCGTAATACCGATGATAGACGACCATAAACCGGGGACTATTGATAGTCATAAGATTAACATGCTAATGAAAAACAATCCCCAATAACACACTATAATCGTCTAAAATACAGCCTTACAAAAGTGTTTTCAAAATTATTTTTTAAAAGCTTAATATTTATACGGTTATTTTTTTTTTTGCACGTATGTAAATATATTTAATTGGAAAAGCTCTCGTATAAATATTTTATTGGCATTTCTACTTCAAAAATGTGATTCGTGAAACAAATAACTCTTCTTTCCTAAACTTAACCATTCAACAGATAACATTTTTTAGAACGAAACTAAATATTTCTATTGTACACATACATTGGTAAATATTAAGATACTTATGGTATTCAATTTATTTCGTTGAAATAGGGATCTGCCATACTTTACGACCAAATTCCTCTAAGCACATCCAGGGAATAAAAACAGGAAACTGTGGACCATAAACTTGAGTCCGTAAGAAGCATAACAATCGCTTAACCGAATTCTCGGGGCTTACCCGTACAGTCATCACTTCCTTGTTTGCTTTGGCGCTACTTCTTGTTTTATTCTTTTTATTCGCTTTATTTTCGCCACTGTTTCAGCTTCCTTCGTTTCTCGTTTTCAAGTTTAATTCAAATGGCATTTCAAAATACTTTTTATTGTCTTTTATTTTCGCCCGGGTCCTCTGTACTCTTTTTCTCTTTACTACATAGAAAGAAAAGGGACTGCAAAAATTAAAAATATTTAGTTTCTTTACCATCAAAGCAATTGTAAACATTTTTTAAATGAGTTTTCTCAGAAATAGATTTGTACAAATTTAATAAAATATAGTTATATAAAGTCAGCAATGTAATAAATTAACGGCAGTGGAATTTTTTGCACACTTAAAATATTTCAAAAAACTAACAGTTTTCATTACTTAATTAGTTACATAATATCCAAATCATTGGCTTTTAGATTCTTATAAATAATTATAGTTCTGAGACCGGTCTGGCCGTGAGTTCCACATTTTTCTCTCTGTGCATACGTCCCACTGTGGGCAAACGAGATTCGTAGCTATGTGTGAGCTTGGCGTGGCTTTTGCGGCGTCCCTGACGTGGAGCGGTATTCCCACAGTTTTCAATTTTTGGCGATTTGTTGCGGCACTTAACGGTTGTTTGTTAGCTGTCATTGTTGTTGCTGATGAAGCGCCTTTGTCTCAACTTCCTCCATATCTCTAGCTCTTTCTCCAGCATTCTGCACACCGGTACAGGCCGACTTCACTAAAGTGAACGCTCAAAGGCAACATAACTATATATTGCTTCATATTTAACTTCTTCGCAGTTAAATACAATTTAACTGAAAATTATTTATTGAAACTAAAAAATACCAATTGTATTTGAATTTCTTTTCAAATTGTTCTAGAAGCAATACCATTGTGTGAAATTTAGAGATGAAAATCATTAAAACTTTTAAAAAATATACAAAATATTGTTTTTAAGTGGTTCCTTAAACAAAGGTCTACCTGTATTTCTTTTGATTGTTGTTCCTGTTGTTTTTTCGCGACTATCCCAAGACGGACGAGCAAATTGTTTGGGCCAAGTCGCCAGGAAGGGGTTGTCCGCATCCACATCCACATCCACAGCCACATCCACATCCATATCCCCATCCGAACCCAAATCCAAAACCACATCCACGGGTCCCTAAAGTTTACTCGACTCTGGCTTAAATACGAATTTGCCTAAATCAACAAACGGCGAGAACAGAACATTTTGTGGGTCTCCTTTGCATTTGAAAAGTAAAAAGTAACAAGATTTCATTGCGTCTCATATTGTCTCGTCTATTTGCATATCTTGCGCGTGGATTTATAGCGTTATATATGTACGGGCGTAAATAGATATATATACCGACCTTTGCATTATATAGTCAAGCCAAACGAAGGAGCGGAGAAAAAGCCAGAAAACAGGTTCATTTAGCTCACGTTTTGAACTTTTGGCGATTGATCGTGCTTTTTATTGTTGTCTCGGTTTCTGTTTGCTGTCATTTGCATGAGTCAGCCTAGAGAAAAAAAATGTCTTAAATAATACAACAATGCTTTTTAATGAAATTGAGTCTAAACATTTGTTCTTGAATGAATTTGTTGTCTTGCGTTAAGTCAATATTTAAGAGTTTGGCCACCATTAAACTAGGATCTTTTCTAAAAAATCAATGACTTACAAATTTTAGTAAAGATTATTAGAGAATTAAACCACAAACTGACAGTTGCTTATTTCAAATATTCTCGATATGGTTATTAAATTTATAATATGTCAAATGTTTCCTTTATTGCAGAGCAAAGATCTGATTTAAGTTTAAATATCCTCTGCAAGAATAAAACAACTTTAAAAGCCCCTTAGTTTACCTTAATAATAATAATTTTTCTATTTCCCAAAACATTACAAGAAACGCCACAAACATTGAAATACTCTAAAAACAATTTTAGAAGCCTCGTAGCTTACCTTAATAATCATATTTTTTCTGTTACCCAAAATTGTCAGGAAACTCTGCAAAAACTGAAATAAATACAACTAATTTCGAATAGTATTTCCACACATTTTCCCCGAGCCCTAGGAAAATGCTGCTGTGGTTAACTAAAAATCCCGAAGTAATCAACTTAAAGCGAAACTTTGCCGGCGAAACTTTTGTAGATACAAAGATACTCACAATCAGATACACAGATACATGGGCCTGAGATACAAACTTGGCTATAATTGAGCAATTTACACCACAACAAGATGGGGACAGTGGGTGTTTTTCTGGGGTTTTTCGGGGGCCTGGAAGGTCAGATCGCAAGACGAATCGGGGAAAGTTTACCCGGGAGCATCAAACAGTGCTGGAATGTGATAAAAATGCCGAGATTATGTAACCGAAATACTTTTAAATCGAAATCGAGCAATATAAATTCATGGCTTAGACACTTGAAAATGCCAACGTTGGGTGGGACACTTGGCCCATGGCTATAGTGGGGTTATTTGGGTGCCGGGTGGTTTCCTTCATTGGGAAATGGGAAATGAAATATTGTGAACACACGCCGAAAGAGAGGGCAACAGGCGAAACAGGGAAAGAGACGGAGCGAGAAAACGACAGTGCTGAGTTTGCCAGTTTTTGGTTTGGCTCTAAACAATATTTTATACTTATATGGCCGAAGATATTTATTAGTTTGTTGTGCGCATCGCTCCCTTTTGAACACCCAATTTCAGCTGCACATTCGAACTCCTTTTTACGATGCCGCTGGCATTTACATGCGAAATATCTTAAGTCGCTGCCATTAAAAGTCAAACGAATGCGATAAGATCGGCGACCGTTAGTCGGCACCTTAATACCTTAGTAGTATGCGGTGTCAAAAAATGAATAAAACGCAAGAGAAGTGGGGGAACCTTTTTCCGAATAAACGCTTACATTTATTAATTACGCATGCGGTTTGACGGACTCTCGAGAATTTAATCTGCCAAATTGATGGTTAACCCCCCGATGGCTGATGTACTTTTTCTGGCCTCCCACACTTCAAGAAAAAGCTGATTCAATCCAATTCATGGACTGCCATCGATCGATCAAAGCTTTACAAATCGGAGGAATTTTTCTCAATCAATTGATCATTAATTCTGCAGTAATTTATCAACAGATTCATTTAATTTAATTTATCAATTAAATGACATTTAGCTGTGAATCAATCATGGGGAAACACTTACCATTAATAACAAATAAATTGCACACAATTTATAATAATCGTTAAAATGATTTGATCTTTTTTGGACATTCGACTTGTAACACGAATTAAACTAGTAATACATTTGCATAAGTATATATAAAAATGTCTGTATAAAAGAGACCCAAGTATAAAAACCTAGATAAATATAGAAAATTAAATTTAAAATATCATCGATTTGTAAACCAGATCATAATTTAAATTAAATTACCATAGATTTATTTATGTCGTAGTCCCTTATTCAAATATTAAGCAAGTATAAATGATGAGATCTAATAAAAGGAAACCATACACCATTTCTATTAAGCAATCAAGAAGCCGCTGTCAAATCAAAGTCATGGCAAAGAAAAGGCGAGAAAAACATAAATATTTAACCCAGAAGGCGTGATGAATCTGAAGTCTGGAGTCTGGAGTCTGGCATTTATCACACACTCGGCCACAAGGGTTAAGCAATTAGGGGCAGATGGTGACGCCTACACTGAGCGACCAAATCGATGACCAGCTCACTGAGGGGAAAAACGAGCATGGAAAGATGGGCCAAGGCGATAGCAATGTGGGACGATGACGAGCCTGGTCAATGAACCATGTCGATGGGATTCAGATTGGGATCGGGATGAGTTGCCTTGCATCTGGGGCTGACACACATCGGCCGGCCGGCGCAACAAACAAATAATCAAACAAACAAACGGAGTAAACAGGCCAAAAGAGTCCCAACACAAGTCCAAGGATCCACCGCACCGAAAACTCTGTCAAAATCACAAAAGCCACCATGACGCCTCACAAAGACCGACAAAAGAAACGTTCTCAGTGGGTGAACTTAAGGGGTTAGTGCTGTCTGTTTCTATAAAATAAAATAAAACGCAGGAGCTATAATTATGAATGCCTTTGGCTCACCTCTGCACTTCCATTATTTAAAACATTGTTTTCGCAAAACTCCTATAAAAAGTTCCTTTTTAAATACCTCTGTCATGTAGTACTTTTATAAGCTTATTGCTTGCAGTCTTCAAATAAAATATTTGTAAAGCAATTCCCAACTACTTGTTAATATATCAACAAAGTTTAATCAGTCTTAAAAGCAAAAAAGGTTTTGCTTGCATTTTTAATACATTAAAGGATTCTATAAAAGTTGAGTAATTTGTTTTATTTAAATAAGTAAATTGCATTTTTTATTTAAAACATTTCGTATATATTAATATAAATTAAAAAGGGTAAACAAAAATGTATTAAAAGTATTATTATATATTCAATGTTTGCAGAATTAATGAGATGTTCCAAAATAATAACACTTTAAGCTGCGAAAGCTCAAATTTCTCAAGCCAACACTTATGTTGTAACATTATTCGGTGTTTATGAATGAAACCCGCCAGATTAAATGGCCAAAAACTGTAGCCAAATGTGTCAGCACTGAGTTTGAGAATAAGTCTGATAAGGAAGGGAAATGGAGAAGTGGGGGAGTGGGGTGGTGGGGGGTGGTGGGGGTGTGTGGGCCACCGAAAACACTGCCAAATCATTGGCATTGACGTGCGAGCAAAAGAGGGGTTTATTATACTCCAGAGCCAGCCTGTTGCCGGCCTTTCTTCATTTGCCACATTCTTGTTCCTGCTTTTCGGATGGACATTTTTCATCTTTAGTGCCGAAAGGCTACACTCGAGTGGACTGCGTGTTTTTTTCGGTGGATTCGGGCATATAAAAGGCCGCGGTTCGCCCCAGTGCCACACAATCAATTATTGATTTCAGAGTGCAACATGTTCCATTCGCAAGAGAACTATGCGGGGCGTAAGGTGAGTTGCCTGCTGGTCTGCCTGGCGATCCTGCTGCCATTCCAATCCGTCGATGCTCGATGGACCCGGCGACCGAGGCGCACCACCACGCCCAGAACTACCACCACCAGCTCAAGCACCGTGAATCCTGATCGCCACCAGCACGTGCACCACTGGCCACCACTGGTGGCACCACCACCGGCACAGCCCGAATCACACCCCCAAGTAGTTGTGGTGCAAAAACCCAGCTACACAGAGACCAGTCCTCGGCTGATCGACAGCTTCGATCAGAGATCACTCGATGGCCAGTATGAGTTCAGGTAAGGAGTCTAAAAGTATGCAATAAAATAAATACCGTCGTCCTTTGTAATGATTCCCTCGGACTCATGGATTTACAATATACCTTAAGACACCTAAGTAATTTTAAAGCTCAAGAGATTTCCGTAGAGCCTTCCATTTTCAGTAGTCGTACCTAATCCCTTAAAGGAAGTATATTTCAATAGTCTGACGCGTATATTTGAACCCACCAGATACCAGCTGGACAACGGAAACACCCGCTATGAACGCGCCTACTGGCTGCCCGTGGGCAAGGACCTCGTCCTGGCCAAGAAGGGATACTACTCGGTGCCGCTGCCCAATGACAAGTACTCGACGGTGTTCTACACGGCCGATCATCGCGGCTACCACGTGGACATGCGTGAGCTCCGAGTCCCTGCCCCATCAGTTTCAAACCGCTAATGAATTTATCCAAAACGCAGAGACATTATCCAAAGAGCAGCCGCTGTTGCCGCGGAGCCTTGAAGTGCCCGGAATGGAGAGGGATGTGGGATCGGGAACGGGAACGGGAATGGGATCTGGAATGGGTATGGGTACGGACAAGGGGACTAAGCGAAATTCAATAAGCGACCCGGAGCGTAACGAGCTGGATGTGGAAGTGGATGAGGATGTGGATGTGGAAGTGGATGAGGATGTGGACGCAAGTGAAGCTGGCACCGAGCTCGTTCCTAATGTAAGTGCCACCGGGAGTTAGCCCCCTTTTATATGAATACACCGGGAAAACGGCTTAAATGATTTTGTTTCAGGAAAAAATATGGTTTCAATATCTTACTTAAATATCACGAATTAAATCTATTCTAGATTACACATTTTTTTTTCATACATTTTTTTTATAATTGCTAGATGCAAAGTAATTTTTTTTTGAATACCTTAAATAATATGATAACTTTGATATGATGCAATTGAAAAAGTCTCTAGTCTACATAAAAAAAACATAATTCAAAACAGAAAAGAAAAAATCTCATCTACCTTTATATACAGTTTGAAACTTATTAAATGAAATGCAACAATAGAACCTAGAAAATTTTATAATTACATAATTTATGTTCATAATTTTCCTTAAAACTAGATACATTTTCTAAACACTCAAACTCGATACGCCACAAATAATGGCTAGTTCGCAGTTTTTAAATACAACTTAAAGGTCTGTTTTACCACATATACCAATGGTATCCCAGTTTTACTTGTTGATCAAATTCCATAATATGATATAACATAATACAACAATTGATTTAATTTTGCACTGTGCACCTTCCCCCTTTTGCTGCAGGCTGTAAACCAAGTCGAAACCGAAACCGAACCATCAACTTTGGCCAACGACATTTTGGCAACTGAAGCACCAGCCGACAGCCACGATGATGACGATGTTGATGATGATGAAGGCGCCTCAAACTGAAAGCCCGAACATTAGAGGACATTTCGGCATGTAGAGGATGGCGGAAGATGGGGGGGGGTTTGGGGCACACACTTGGCTGACTCGCAGCTCGCTCTACTTGCTGCAAATCAAATTGAAAACAATTGTTGCAGTCACCAGTCCGACACAGTTGAGTTGGCCAGTAGTCACCGCCTCCCGAGGAGAAGAAGTCAACTCGACTCCACTTAACTCCATCTTCATCTCCATCTTCATCTTGGAGTTCATGGGGAATGTGTCTCAATTGCTCGCTTGACAGCTCCTCCTGTTCCCATTCCCTGTTTTATGTTAGCCTCTCTTCATATGATAGATTTTTTTTTTTTTGCAATATTCAATAAAAACAAATATAGGATTTTTAAACTTAAAGTGGCTTTTGTTTTTAGTTCTTCAGCATACTGATTATAATCGAAGATGTTAGTCTTAAAGGGAATTCTTTCATATCATCTGAAATGGCTCAAAACTTAATTGACTTAGCTTAAATTACTTCGAATTGGTTAATTTAAGTAAAAAATGTATGGCAGATTAATTTTAAAATTTCGTAGCTTAATGGTAATTATTGGCCACTTAATATGATACAATATTTTGCTTATTAAAAATTTAGTTAAAAATGTTGATTGTGATCGGATTTGATTTTGCTTAATGAAAGCCCTCAAACTACATCATGTTCAGACATGCAAACGAGGTCTATTAAAGCCATTTCAAATAGTTTAGAGGTGTCATCGCCATTTTCAATGGGCGAGAGGACCAAAGACCGAGAACCGTGTGTGTGATGGGCAAAAGATGAGACATTATGAGGCGGCTGACAAAAACACATTCGAGCCTCAATTTGCCAGCTGCCGACGACCGTCTTTTGTGGGGCCTTTTGGGTCGCTGCCTTTACCATTGCCTCGCTGCTGGTTTCAATTTAAATGGTTTCTGGAAAAACGCCCCGAATTGGGTGGTCGCATTGGTGAAAAGGCGATGCCAGGAGATTTGTCGGCGGCAAATCGGTGAGCATTCATAAAACTTCTCCATCTCTGGCCCTTCCATTACCCTTCCGCCATCCTTTTGGCCAACTGCATGTCCCTGTAAGACTTGGCCGCTTTCTCCGTAACACACCCACAGCCAGGTGCACATATGCTCGTAAAATGCACGGCACACTCGGAAAAATAACACGAAAAAGGTGAGTAAATTATATATGTGTTTTTATTTGATTATTATTTATAAAAATAGCATACCTTCCCTTTAACATTTTTACAAATTACAAATTTTTACAAATTTACAGATTTGCTTTGCTGGTTCAATAAAGGTTACAATACTTTTTTTAAAAAATTTCATTTATCTAAAGTCTAAAACTGCACGGCAGCCAGTGTTAAAAAATGTATTTTTTTTATATTTTAAATTCCGTATTAATATAATACAATATTGTTCTTTACTTTTCTATTTTAGGTTGTAGGTTACGAACCGAAAACGGTTTTAATAAAAAGGAAACATGGTTTTTAATTATTTTATTTATATTACATTTTCATTTTATTCAGTCTAAACCCGCACGGCAGCCAGAACGAATGTGGTGTTATAAAAAATGTTTTTTTTAATATATTAAATTTCATATTAATAGAATTTTGTATGTTACGAACCAAAAAACGGGCTTAATACAATATATAAAAAATATGTTTTTTATTTATTTTAAGCACATTTTCTGCGAGTGTCGGATGAATCGGGAGCGAGTTCTGTGGCAGGATAACTGCAGCTATTCATTTCGCTACTAATCCAATGCGGGCCAGGGATTCGGATTCGGGCTGGTCCTGTTAACCCCTCCTTTCGGCCCTCTTCCCGCCCTTGGCCCGTTCTGTATTTACGAGTCAGCCATGCCCACGTAATGAATGGCAGGACCTCCTGCTCCCCGGGCGTGTGAATGAATTGAGTGTGCAAATGGCTGAATGAATGAATGAACCAATGCGAATGCGAATGTGAATGCGGGTGGGATATGTTTTTGTAGCCTGATTGGGGGCTTTTCGATGGCCGGCGTGAGTCACGATGCCATCTCTGGCACGAGGCATAACCTTGGCTGCGACCCTCCCACCATTTCGCCCACTTCTTTTCTTAATTTTATGTGCGTCGCCTGCATCAAAGTTTACACATTTCCCTCACTCACCTGAAGCTCCATAAAAGCAGCGGTATTGGGAATGAAGATTTAATGGATTTTGCACTGGATTCGCAGCTCATCCCGCCCAAAATTTTCGAACACCCAAACACATTTGCATTTTCCAGACAGGATCCGCTCAATATGATGGATTAGGCATCCTTAAAAATATGTTTCACAATTTCAATGGGATACTCAGAGAGAAAAAAAATACCAAAAAGAAGTGTGAAATTCGTAATTAAAGGTTGCAGTCATATTTAAATTCCTATTTTTTTTTAATTATTAAAAACTTGCGTAATTATTTTATTAATTTATTAAAAATTTAACCTATCTTCTTAAAATTTTTTAACTAGTACAAATATTATTATATACCTCCATTGATTATCTTTGAAAATAATAAATATATATGTATATGAGTAAATAATTGTATTAATTAAGTGCAATACAATTATTTACTTAAATTTCAATTTAGATAATTTTGTTTAATATTTTAAACTTTTACGCGCTTAATATAGTAACAAATTTAAATTGATTTTTAAACCATTTTGTTGGTGTATTCTGATTTGGATTGGCGCACTTGTGGTTATTTGAGGTGCCATGGGTCATCGATGACCCTTGTCCTGGATTATTTATGTAAATATACACACGGGCCCTTAACCCGTCACCCCATCATTTGCCCATTTGCCAAAATTAATTTATCTTCCTGAGCACTCTCCAGACAACAAAAATGAAAAACAAAACACATTCGAGTTCCCCAGGGATCTGACCCGTGTCTAAATCGAGTTCGGCCGCCGTATTGTAAATAAGTAAATAGGAAAATAAATAAATAAATTGAGTAATGGCCATAATTGACATGTCACATGAAAAATTCAAAGTGCCGACACACACAAATTGAATGGGAATGCGAAAGCCAGCCATTGAACTTCAGCCCAAGTCCATCGAATCGGACCCGGCCATGTCCAAAAGCCGGGCCAAAACGAAGCCAAAACAGTCCAGCAACTGCGTGTGTGAGTGACTGCGGCATTTTCCAGATTTATATCGGGGTTATCAAACCTCGAAGCACAATGAGAGCGCAGACACAAAAAAATGCCCGAAAAATCAAATGGAGTTTGGCTCTAAAAAGCGGATAAGATATTTTTTTGGTTCTTAGTAAGCCGGGCACATACCATCAGTCAGGCGGCTGAGAAGGGGGCGGGGTTGCCCCAATTGGCTAATATCCGAGGTTGCCCCCCAAACATTTTACACAGAAACATTCTTAGACCGTGGTTTCCTATTCTCAATACTGCAATGAGCTCCGTTTTATTTATTTGAAGAAATTGAATGGCTCTTAAATAAAAATGAAAGCTTGACAGAAGAAACTATTTCAGACCGTGGTTTTCGATTCTAAATACACATTAAATTACATTTTATTTGAGAGTTCATCTGAATCTCAATTACATATTATTAAAACCAAGTAAGGCTTGACACAATTATTAATATGTGCACTTTTCAATCAATTTTTCAAATCAGACAGAGTTTTTTAATACTAAATATTTATATTTCTTCCACTGTACTTAACCCTCTAACTGAGCCAGTGAGCTGGCTCCCCCTCTAATGTATTTATATTTATGCATACAGTTAGGTATTTCGTACTTGAGTTTATCAAAAACAAGACTCCATCTAATCCAGAGATTAATAATGCGGCTCTGCGTAAATTTCAATTGTGACCACAGACCCACACATGCTGTCCGCAAAAATGTAGATTTAATGGGGACCTCAGCTGCAACATCGACCACGGTCAGCAAAGTCCACCAGAATGCCGGGCGAAGTGGGTTAAAAGGGAGTGAAGGCCCGCCCCGTTTTATGGTTAGAATTTTATTGACTCGGATTAGACGAGAGTCCGTATTCCGCATCCGTAAGATACACATTAGAGAGATAGAGCGACCTGCTGCACGACTGCAACGTTTGGGCCAAATTTCCTGCCATATTTTCGGTAATTGAGAATTGTGAATTTCGGCCTGGCTTAGCCGCTTAATAAATTTATGCAAACCGAGACAGAGAGATACAAATGTATCTGCTGGAGATCTGCAGAGATTCGCTTCCAAGTACAGTGAGAGAAAAGAGCAAGTTTGATTATTTTTATTTCAAGTGGATTATTATATACACTCACCTGATGTATTTACAAGGTGTTTTAACATATATTTTGTAAGTAAGAATTATATATTACTTTATATATCATATATTTATATATGTTAAGCTATTGAAATGAAAAATGTACTATTTTTTGTGCACATTATTAAAATGTATAATATATTTTGATTTTCAGAAACAATTTAGAAGAGAACGGTTTCAACTTTTAGAAAAGGCTTATTAAAAATTTATATTGCAACTTGAGTTAGTTTCTTCTTTAATTTGCTTTAAATTAGTTTAGTTACATTTTTTTTCCTTGTGTATCAGCGCCAAGTTTCGTTGTTAGCACACCGCCTTCCCCGCTCCCATTCTCAGTATTTGTTTATCATTGCTTTTTTTGCAAGGCACTCAGCTTGCGGATTTTATAATTTATGCAAGACACCAAACAAACTCAGCTTAAGTCTTACAAATTGTTTTGAGATGCTCGGCATATCATATAAAAAAAGCACAAGCCAAAAGGAAAAGCAGCAGAAATCTGTATCTGAGTTTTGAAGAGTACCGCAAAAAAAAAAAAGGGGAGAGGGCGGAACGTGATTTGATGGGAATTATTCCATTGCCGGCAACAGGCAGGCAGCCTCAAAGCCGCAAAAAAGTGGGCAAAGTGCTCCAGACCAAAAGGTAGCTATCCCGGAGTTACGGGGAGTGCGGGGTGGATTTGGGGGTTGTGGGAGGGTCCACAACAAGTTGTATCTCGGAGATGTCATGTCACGTAGGCAGGCAGTGCTACATGGACCATTCATACAAATTTTGTTTTATAAGCCACTTTTATACGTTATTTGTGTGTAACTTGGTCCGATTCAGCCTGGCTTGGTCTGCTCGGTCTGCTCGGTGTGTTTATCTGTAGCTGTATCTTCCCGGGCTTCTTTTTTTCGGGCATTTCATTGCCGCCGCTGTAGATTCACTTGCGAGCACTTCCCAACGCAAGCCACAGTGGTTAATCCAAAGAGATATGCTCAAATATTCTGATATGAGTTTTTTTCAGGCTTCTGGAAAGAATATACATTTTGTAAATCTTTTTTTTTTATCGTATATGGGGTCCACACCCGCACAGCTAAAAGAATAAAAGATTTTTGGCGAATATTGTACGCAATTAAAAACGTTATTGATTGCAAATTTCATAACGAGCTCATCGAGGTATAACATTTCAAATTTATAGAACTATTTCCCAGGACTGCGAAAAAAAACAAATTTGTGGCCGTTTAGTGTTTTCGAGCTATTAATGTAAGAGTAGATAAAATAATTCATGAAAAAAATACTGTTAAACAACCTAAAATTTGTTCAGATTTTTGGCCAAACAAAACAATTTTTATAATTTTTTTGTTTTAGCTCAGGCAAAGTAAAACCCAAAACTTAAGCACCGTCTGTTTTGTGAAGCGGACAACCTAAACCACAACTTTCAGTATTAGCAAAAAAACTAAGATAATTACTTTTGAATCTCAATTGATCAGAAATTTTACTATGATGAATTATACCTTTTTTGGACAATTATTTCCCAAGACCCGAAAATCCAAGCCTTAATCGTTTTTATTAGTTTCTTTATTATAAGTAGTATATTGTGTAGAAAAAAAAATTATTCTGTTTTATTTTTTTATCATTGTTGCAAGAAGGTATTTTTGAAATCATTTGTTGTTATCCTAATAGGTGTTTATTAACGATTTTAACACAGCAAACTATTACGTTGGAATATACAGTGAAATTTTAAGATTTTTTTATAACTTAATTTATCTTGAGCCAAATGATTTCAAGTTCAAGTTAATAAGTTATTTTTCCCCTAATTTGCCCCACTGTGCCGCTGTTTGACTGTCTGCCGAAAGCTGCAGCACGTCGTCAACAGAATGTCGAGGGCCCAGGCCCCCCTCCCCGCGCTGACACCTACGAAGTATGACAAACCGAGGCACCTCCTGCTGCTCCTTGGCCATTGATGTTGCTGCTGTGCCTGAGATGTTGCTGCTGTGACTGAGATGTTGCTGCCGTTGCTGTTTCTGTTGCTGGGGGGAAACTGCAACCTGCCCAAAAATAACCAATGCGCAGTAATGGCAAACAGCGTTGTTGTCTCAACCATTTAGCATCACAGACAGCCACACTCGGAAAAAAGTATTGATTTGCTAATAATCATTTTAGTATAAAAATAGGAAAAACTACAGGTATTATTACGAACGGAATTTAATTTTTTGAAATTTTAAAAGGTTTTACCTTTATAATATACAATATCTTGGCTTACAAACATCTTGTATTTGTATGGATTATTTTCTCTGTGCAACAGCAACACAGCCACGAATCGCTTCCTGTCACGACTGCACAGCGGATTCAGCCTTCTTCTGCTGTGGATTCTTTTTCGGACGCCGGCTTTGTCATCGACAGACAAAACAAATGACCTTGCTGATGAGGCACCTTAACTACACCTCCCCCTTTGAGCCACTGATCTTTTTGCTGTTACACAAAAGAAAAAATGTGTAATTTGTTTTTTTTTGGGCTTCCTCTGAAATATCTTTACACATAACAATGTTTAGTATTTGCAAATAACAGATTGCAGGAAAAATTGGACATTAAATCTTACTGTTTAATTATTGTCCCACAAATATATTTATTAATTTTAAATATATTATTTTAAGAGATTATAAATCAGGCTTAGTTTGAAACAAGATCCAAAATAATACAAAATATGTTTAAATAAGAATCCAACTATTATAAATAAGATATTGTAACTTTTTCTAAGCTATTAAGCTTATTACATAAGGATCATTCTGATTTGTGAAGTTAAATTCCAGGCGTTAGCTTGTTCTCCTTGAATATACATATTTTTTGCCTGTGTTTCGATTGGCGCAACAAGTTTGGCAAACATTTTTGCACTTTTGTATTTTAATTTCTGGTGCTGAGCGTCGTCTTTTGTTCGCCCGGCCAGAATGTGAAATGAATGCTTTGTCACAGTCAGAGATAAAATACGTTTATAAATAAATCAGTTTACGCCAGGATGAAGGAAGTGCCTGTTGTTGGTGGCGTGCTGATGTAGCTGTTGCCACTTTGGCAAGTTTAGCGCGCCTTTTTGGCCCCGACTGACAGGGTGACAAACTGACAGAGTGGCAAGCTGGCCGAGTGACAAACTGACAGAGTGACGAACTGACAAACTGACAGAGTGACGAACTGACTGCGTGACTGACTTAGCCAGCGACTGTGACTGCTATTGTCACTGTGCTGTCACTGCGACTTGGCTATAAATCTGCTCTGCATGCCACGAAAAAGCCGAAACAATGCGGCTCAAAAATGAAGTAAATTCATAAATGCTATCTGCTTAAGAGATGGATATTTTTATTGGTAATACATTGGCGTGACCTTTGAGGTGTGCGGAAATTAATTAAATGGCGATAACTCCGTGTCGACGTATTGACAGCTGCCCCCGAGCAGCACTATCCGATAAGTTTTGCGGTCCCTCGGTCCCTGGCTCAATTGCACATCATTAACTTTGGCCGACTGACCAAGTGGCCCCTCGGCAGCCCCGGGCATTCAGCTGGCCCCCACATCCCAGATCCGAGGGTACAGGCCTGTGTTCGCTAAATCGCTGCACATTAAATGCAATTAAGAAATGATTGAAATCATAAATTAGCCCTAATTGGCCTCAGGACGCTCGCCTCGTTTCGTCCCCCTTTGATTCGCGCTCCTGCTTCTGCTCCTGCTTTTGCTCCTGCTCCAGGCCACCGATTCCGCCCCTGGTGTTGCATCTTTCCCGCTCGAAATCCGCTGCTTTGGCCTCCGACGATGACAGGCGGCACGTACTGGCTGCCCAAATTGTAGGGTGCAAGAACTGTTGTATTTTTAGCCACTGCCCAGCACAGTGGGTTAAATGCAGAAAGCCACATTCGATATATTATATTACTGGCTAATTAACTAAAATGCTCAAATGTTTAGCAAGATTATTATTATGAACTCAAATACAAGCCGCTAGTCTTGCAAATAGAAAATCACCCGAATACACCAATTAAAACAAACAAACTTACAACTTTTTTAAGTCCTAGAAAATAAAATTGTCTTAAATAACAAAAAGAATTAATAATTAGTTAATAATTAAAAAGAACGAATGGAGCTTTATGGGTTTTCAAGTTTTCTAAGTAATTAACATAACATTAGAATAAAAAGTTTTAAATTGCGTATGACAAAAAATGGCTTAGATAATTTTATTAATAAATGTTAAATGGAAACAAAATCAAATGAATATAAATTAATAATAGTGAAAAGACTGCAAAAAACTTTGCCTCATAATGAGATAATTTACTTTGCCCATTAGATTTGGTAACCATTTTAAACAAGTAGCATTAAAGCCACTTTGTAGCGATTCCCTGGCCATCCATCAATTGGCAGCAAATCGATTATGTCTGCTGTATCAGTTTCCATCTGTGATTGCTGGCCCCACGCCCTTACACCCCCTCAAAACTCCCCCAACCCCCCGCCAAACCCCTGTAAACCCCTGTTAACCCATTGTGCGCAATTTGGCGGCCGTGCGAACAGCGCCAAAAGCAAACACACAAAAGAGGCGCAACCAAATTGCCCAGTTAGCAACCTGTCCAGCCCCAACCCCGCCCCTTCCGCCCCTTCCGCCCCTTCCGCCCCTTCCGCCCCTTTTAACCCATTGAGCAGGGCACACCGATAAGCATGTGTGTAAGTAGATGAAATTAAGATTTTTTTCGTATGATTAAGCGTTGAGAATTTTTGACGGCAATGGCTCAGAGAGATGTACATGCACTGAGGGAAAACAATAGAATTTCTGGACATCTACATTTATTTTAGAGCGTATAAAGAAACTTAATAAAAATAGTCATAATACATTTAATAAACCCAAAAATGTTGTTTGTCAAATCGTTCTACTATAAGCCACACATGTTACAACTTAACAATGGGGAAACATTCTTATTAAAAAGAAACCAGAAGAGAACAACATCCTTTTCTACCTGTGTATTTGGCTCTCCGTCACCCCTTTTGATATCCCGCTCAGGTTGAAGATTTCTGCTGCCTCAGTCACAGTCGACTTCTCTGCCGGCGACGCTGCCTGCGATGGCGACTATAAAAAGCCAAAGTTACACAGTTTCCGAATTAAACTGTTAACAAAACACCACGCGGCAGCACACACACGCAACCTCCGCCATCCACTCACACCCCATTTACCCCACCCACAAGCCATCGCACATCCATTTGTCACACACGCACACCCCAGCATCAAAATGGCCACTTCCGGTCCGATCCTGCTCGCTATTTTCCTGCTCGGCGCCACCCTCACTTCCGCCCAGCAGATCCTGGAAAACGAAAGGGAGGGGGAGGCAGTGCGAAGCGTGCGATTACTGGATCGATTCGATAACCGATACCCCGACGGGAGTTACGAGTATCGATTCGAGTTGGACGACGGAACGGCGCGATACGAGCGGGGATATTTCGCCAAGATCAACGAGGTGAAGACCCTAATGGTCGTGGGCTATTACGCCTATCGCATGACCGACGGCCGATACATCACCGTGTTCTACAATGCCGATCAATTTGGCTATCGGCAGAATCAATGTAAGTATGATCGGCAATCGGTAATCGGCTATCGGCTATCGAGGTTCAAAATTAGGAAATTAACGAAAAGTGATTAACGTTTCGTCAATTAAGGCACTGATCCAACTTATAAAATATTAACTGAGTTTTTTGATAGCTATACTAAGTATACTAAGTGCAAATAAAACGATCAATAATAATAATTATTCTGACCATGAATGTGATATGTAGTTTTTAACTTTAAAACACTAAAAACCAAACCTTTATTTAAAACCATAAATAATTATTTTTAATTGGAATTATTTCAATTTTAATATTTGTTCGTGTATAAAATCTCTCAACATTAAAATAAAAAAATCTAAGCTATTTGCTTAATTTGATTGATTGATTGGCAATACCTCTTAAAGTATCTAATACAGCTAAATAATGTTAACAATTATTATAAAAATGAAAACGTTCATGCCTTAAAAACCTTTCTTGGAAATGTTTGCTATTAATTTGAAACGAGTTTATAGAAACCAATACATATCAATAATCACAACTGAAATGATTAATTTAAACAAGCTACCCAATAACGAAACTCCTTTACTTAAATACTTAATAAGACTAGCAGACACCCATCGATTATCCCTAACCTTAACCCAGAGATGTTCCCGTATCGGAATGTGGTTTATGTTAAATTATATTATTGCGTTTCGCCCACAGCAATCACGCCGCAAGTGTATCCCAACCTGCCGCGCTCCATCGAGGTGCCCATGTCCAGCTCCGATCCCGATCCCGTTTCCAGTTCCACCTCCAGCTTCAGCTCCAGCTTCAATTCCAAGTCCCAGTCCCAGTCCCGGTCGGAGGCCCATGGAAACCCAAGCCCCTCCATAACGACCACAACGCCCCGGGGGGCGGGGACGAATCGCAGGGGCCGCTACTGAGGCTACTGAGACCCCGTAATTGCACACCATCCTCATTATTATTATGGCTCCTTTCATCGTTTTTTTTTTTTTTAATTTTTGTGCCCCGACTACTCGTATTATATTATTATGATTTTCATTTTTTTTTTCACATTTTTTTGTGCCCAATGAAATGGAATTAAAAAATAATAAAAATTTATTAAGGCAAAGCGGCGAAAATTATGAATTTATTATTGAAGATGTTTCGAGTTGTTTGTGGCTCTTTTGGATTTTGGTTTTTTATGGTCCACGCCCCCCCCCTCGCCTTTCGTGTATTTTTATTTTGTCGGCCGAGAAGATTTCGCGTTTTTTCGAAAGTCGCCGACAATTTGGCAATAAATTTAACACAAAGCGTTTCGGGCAATAAAACATACAAGTGCAGGGCACCCCCTCGGCAACCTGGGGATCACATACATATATATATACATATGTTTATTGGATATCTGGCCATATTTTTGCATTTTTAACACATTTTTGGCGAAGTTCTCGCGGCGAGGCAATTAAGAAACGAAAACGAAACCAAACCAAAAACAAGAAAATGTCCAGTACACAGAAAAAAATTACACATCAATTATGGTTATTCATTTGCACAGCTGCTGTCAATATACGAGTTTACTAATGATGCAGACTATATTATTACGAAGGTAAAATACAAAATATATTAAAAATTCCTAAGAATTACAATTGTTTAATCAAAAAAATATTTTTTGTGCAGCATTATTATTTTTTTTATAAATTTATAGAATGGTAAAGAAAATACGGTTTACATAATTATAGTATATAAAAAAATAGCTTTTATAATGTATATTTAATATACATATTCCTTTAGCAAGAATTTTATCCTTAATATATCAACTAATAATATTGTTATATTTATTGCTAGTTCAAAAATAATGATACACTGGATACAATTAATATTGGTATCAAAAGAAAATTTTATATTAAGTTTAAAGTTTAAACGATAAAAAATCTCCTTATTATTTTATTTAAAAGAAACTCCATTGTTGACCAATATTTTTTTTCATTGAAATGAAATGGTGCGAAATGGAATGAAATCCCAAATTCTTGACTTTCGAGTGTGTGAAGGTTCATCATAAATTTATTAAGTGCCGACAGGATACCTGGGAAACGAGTTCATTGCTCGGCTGACTTGCAGAATTAATTCAACTGGCACCTTTCTGTGGGCCGACTATTAAGCCATAAAACATAAAAGGCCATAAAAAATCATCTTGAGATGAGATTGCAATGGACCAGCTTAATTGCAGGCCCTCGAAAATAAAGCATGATTTGTGTGCACATAAAATTGAAATTGATTTCAAATCAGATTAACTCAAGTGTTGCATAAGAATAATGATAAACATAAAAAACCAGCCACAAGTTTGCAACAGAGAAAAAGAAAATTAAGGACTTAAATCGTGGATATTTTTTCTAATGAAAAGAAAATTGGATTAAAAAGGAAATTGCAGAAGTGAAAGCTTTTGGCAGCCATGAAAGCAATACTTGCCACGCGGTTTTGGTAAGCCGAAGAAAAGGCAGTGGAAAGTGGGAGGAAAAGTGGGCGGAACATGGCTAGAAAATGGGTGGTGAAGTGGCGGGTTGGGCAGGTGGTTCATGGCCTTCGACACTTGACTCAATGGCTTGCCACTGTTCCCATTGAGGAGCTCAGCTACACAGACCTAAAGATAAGTCCAAAGAAAAAACATCAAAAAGTAAGAAAACAAAAATAAAGAGGCAAAATGGGTTGGGTAAGTAAAGTAAGAACTAATGCTCATATTCAAAGTATCCTTAAAATGGACCTATTATGTATACATATTACAAGACCCTGTATATTTAATTAGAATGAAGTGTACGTCGCTTTTAAATATTAACCAAAAACACGACAGTATAACTTAATTTACGGTTTTGAGCAAGCTTTAATTTTTATATTTTTTCTGTTAGCACATCTTGTGTGCCACCAAAAGTTGTTATGTTAAATGCATATTTAATTATATTTTGTATAAATAACAAGTTCATATATAATTTTATACCATTTATATCGATGTTGCATCAGCATTTTCTAAGACAAATAATATGATGTATTCTACTTAAGATAAATACAACTCAATGATTTAATTATTAATCATCATTAAAATAAGATGGGCTTGTTCAAACTAAGTTTAACCAACATTTAAATTCGTGTAAGCTTCAAGCGAGTTCATTTTAAGTCCCAAGTAATAAGAGTGTCTTTCGCTCAGATAGATTGCTCAGTCCGTGAATTATTGTACGAGAAACACAATAAAACCAACTTTTGAGAAGTACTTAAAGCGCCTTTGCAGTTCAACACGAACCGGCCATCCCCTTCGAAATCCCCTCCGAAATCCGCTCCAGAACTCCGATGTTCCGACTTCCCGACGGAGGGACACATGTAGCTGGGAGTCGTTAAAATTATCAATGAAACTTTACAAATCTTCTTCGGGAAAAGCCGGGAAAACGGATAGAGGCAAGGGGCAATGGAATGGAAAATAAGAAAGGAATAAAGCCAAATACAAGGGAAAAGTTAAGTTGCAACTTTGTTAACTTTGACGCTTATTAAAGAGAGGAAAAATCCAGCAACTAAGTAACGGAAAAACAGTAAAAAAGAAAATTAAATTCTTTCGAAACTTCAACTCTGTCAAAGACTGAGGGAACCTTAAAACCCAGAGCCCATCAGTTCAATGTCAATGCCATATACTTCCATTTGATTCACATCCTCTAAATCTTAAATGCCCTACAAAAAAAATACCGTTTCTAGCTCGGCTGAAATATAATCAAAAGGCAATAAATATTGCAAATGTGGAAAAGCAGGCAAAGTTTAACTAGGACATGTACCTCCATTTTTCCGCTTTTCCCAGAAAACGGCTACAAAATGTTTGCATGCTGCGGTAACAGCAATAAACAGTGAAAACAGCGTCAGAAAAAATGTAAACCAAAGCCAAAGGATGAAGAATAAACAGAGATGGAAAGGACACCGAAAAATGAGCAAGGACCAAAAATTCACTTAGCCTGACCAAAGAGTGAAATACTCTAGAACGAAGCCGAAAAATTTCAGTGGTTTTTGGAAGTCGATCTTAAAACGATTATAATAGTAATATTGTCAATAATTTTCCGATGGTTTTTGCAAGTCGCAAATAATAACAATTATAATTTAATAATAAAACAAAAACTTTTTGATGAAGTAACAGTATTTAATAATGTTTTTACAAATTGAATGTTCTTATTACATTTTTAATTTTGGCCTAAAGATGTATTTCATGACACAAAGACAAGCAATTTTGATGATAATTGTACTCGTATTTCAGATTTATTTTATTTCTTTAAGCTTAAAGATTCTGAATAAGTAAAAATTATATATACTTCATAGGCTCTAATCTAAATAATTTGCTAAGCCAATGTCGATACGAAGCTTATGTCTTATCAGTAGGTATTTTATTTCGGGCTTAGCTTATATATTTTATCAAGTGCCTGAAAACCAAACCCATTGCCAAGTGGATATGCCTTTTTAGAGGGTATAGAAAAGGGATAAGCATTGTGGCACACCCGTTAAGGGGATGCGGCGAAAAAGGATGGCGAAAAAAATTAAATATAAAATGCAAAAATGGCTTTTAAGCAGCGAAAGTCGCGTTTAGCGGGGTGAAGCAGGGATTTTCGGAGTCAGAGGTCCCCAAAGGAAGCGGGACAGATGGCAGGTGTGTGGGCGGGATGGGTTAAAAGGACATTGCTGTTGTTTGTCGGTGGGTGCCCAGCCCAGCCCAGCCGAGCCGTGCCGTGCCGTGCCGTGATGTGTGCAGTTCATCAGCGACCGCAGCAAAAGGCTACGAGATCCTGCAAACACGCAAAAAGGACACGATACACCGGGCACTGCGTCCTGCCAGTTAACCATCAAAAAACGAAAAACAAAACAGTCAACTGGAGCGAGGAAACGAAATTAGCATAGGGCTGGCTTAGCTGAGTCAAATGAACCAGAAAACAGTTCATTAAAAACCAAAATATGACAAGCAAAAAAAAAAAAACAAAATAAATAAACCGTCGAGTGTTATCAAGAGTATTTTGCTTTCAGGTAAAATATATAACCATCTCATTTGAAGAATGCAAAAGACTAGCATTTGGCAGCCCTGAGCAAATTGTGAAGTGCAAGCAAATTGCATTCCTTCGTGGGAATTTTCTTTTCTCTTATTCACTTTTTTTTTTGCACCTCTAATGAAATTGCCAGGCACAAGTTGTCTAACTAACTCCTTAGTTGCCTCCCTCGCCACACTCCTTTGTTTATGCATGCGGAAATTCATTATTTTAGCATGCACGCCGCAAATTATGCTATGAACTCGCCGCCTCCCTCTTGAATTGCCCCTTTTTCGAGCTTTGCGAGTGGAATTACCTTATTGAGCCGGATTAAATTCATCAGGAGATGCGGACGAATTTCTGGCAGGGAATTAACATTCCAAATTTATTTGGTGTTCCACAGATCATGATTGGATTTCGGGTATTTTGGTTCTGCAGTTCACTTAATTCATTTAATGGGATTTAATTTAATGGTATCCATTTGAAGAATATTTCTTAAGCCTCAATCATTTTCATTTTGTTGTCTTTGACCGCCATAATTGCTAATCAGTTAATTAATTACCAATAATCGATCGCTTAAAGCTTAAAAACACATTACACGGAATCAACAAAAAAAGTGCGCTAATAAATATTTTAAGAATGCTACAAATTGCCGCTTGTCAACATAATCAAGAGTTATACTCGTAAAACTCAATTCGGACACGCCGTTTTAAGCATATATTAAATGCAGTTTCACCAATTATTTTTCGCTTTAGCCAAAAAAAAGGGGAAACCAGAAATGTGGCAACAAAAAAAAAAAACAGCGAAGGGAACTTTCAGCCGCAAAACAACTGGGGATTTTATTTAAATTTTTAACGAAAATCCACTAAGAGTATTTTCCCTGCCCAGAATATACAGGTGAGTCGTGGATAATAATATATACCTTCGCATGTATAAAAACGTTTAAAATAAAAATGCCCCATTTTTTTGTTTGCCGTAAACAGGCGTAACTTTTTCATGTTTTCCCTTTGTTCCTCTTTGGTTTAAAATGAACACGAAGCTATTTGTTAATTCAATGAATTTATTTGCTGGCCCAGGGAAGGAATCGTCTGGAACTGAGGCCCCGAGTCCGGAACACTGCCCGAACCATGTTCCATGGCCATCCGCACACATTGATAAACACATTACAAGATATTTTGCATATTTCATGGGTGCGTGGCGAAGGGAGGGGGGGGCATCCATGGGCAGGGGCATATATGGCACATACACCATACACCATACATACATGGCATAAAGTCAGCTCGTGTTAAAATCTGCTTTTATGATTAATTGCCGTGGCGATGGAAAATAAACCGCGACAAGGAAGGCGACTTGCTGCATTTCAATTTGTATTTTCGCAGCCATTTTCATTGCTCGACCGCTTTTCCGGGCTTTCCCATTTCGCGCACTCACACTTTTGGCCTTTTTTTCCGGTTGATGTGGTGTAATGCTGCATTCGGCTGATTTAAGTGTGATCCCTGTGTAATCGGCCGTTAATTAATTCTTGCATTAATTTTTCGAGTGTTCACAACTGCACGAAAATGTTAGCGAATCATTTTATTTAGACACATTAATTACATTTGGTTTCAGGCCCAACAAATTCGGTTTGTGTTTAACAGATTTAATTTAAAGCTGGTTGCCCTAGGATAATATTAAAATAAATTACAATGTGTACATTGTTTAGCCAAAAGTATTGGGAATATACGAGCAGACAGTCAAATTTATTTCTTTATTTTTAATTAGAGCCCACAAATTACAATTAATATTTGGACAAATGGTTGTGAAAAACCAACTAAACAAACGAACGTTCACAATGTTCATGATTTTTACATTAAATAATACATGTTTATAAGCGCTACACAAATATTTACAAACATTATATTTATCTGTTATTTAGACACCTAAGAATTATATAAAGAGTTATTCGAATTACCATTTGTTTAAATAAAAAAACGGTCTAACTAAAATTAGATTGTGTTTAGCTTTTAAATAGAAGGTAAGTCAATGAAAAATGTAAGTCATTATAAATTGGTAACTAAATTGTGTACACATTTTTTTCGGTGCTCAAACACATTTGCTTTCCCTTATTTAACCCCACTTGGCTCCACATTTTTTCTGCCTTCGAAAGTTTTTCTTATTTTGGTTCTTCTGGAAATTGGCGCGTTTATCTTGCATTATTTTGCGCACATTCGCCCCTGCATAACTTTCGGCCTCTGTTGCAGTCACTGTTTCTGCCTCAACTTAAACAATGCACTGAAATAAATAATGCATCAGAAAGGTAACCAAGAAACAATATTGTAAGATGCTGGAACATAAACTATTGCCAAAGAACATGGCTTCAACTGTTGTTACATTATTTACAATTTGTATTTTGTTTTTAATTCTTAACTTAAAGCTTAGTTAAATTTTTGCAAATTGTGAGATAACCGAAAAACTTAAATCATGAATTCAGAAAAAATGAAAGCCTTCCATTTGGCCTTTTATTTGAAAATTAACAAAAAACGTAAATATATTGAACTACACCAAACACATTTTCATTGTGAGAAAAATAAAACCATTGGCAAGTTTAAAGCCATACCAAAACAGTTAGGTAAATATTGGTAGAAAGTGTTCAGTATTCATAAGAATAAAAGTAAAAAAAGTGTTAGCCATTAGTAAGTTAATGAAGCGCCCATTTAAACTGGTTTCTTTCTGTGCTCCTGAGACTTTTGCCATTGCTTCCGTTTCCTTTTCCCCAGGACGGGGTGAAGGGGGAACGAAGGAACGAAGGAACGAAGGACGAAAGACGGTACGAAGGAGAGCAAAGGACGAACTGCAACTGGCATTTTTGGCGTTCCCGGCACGCGCTCACTAATTTTATTCCTTAATAAAAACCAAAGGCACACAATACGCTGGAAGCAGAAAGCCGGTTGTGCACGTAGCGTCCTTGCAATCGCCCCTTCTCCCTCTCTCCCTCTCTCCCCATATAGCCATCCCTGTCCCCCCGGGGATAGCTATCTCGCTCATTGGCCCCATTGCGAGGGCGCTACCTTTTGGCAGGGTTCGCTATCAAACTAGCAAAGTTCATTAAAGTGATAATTACAAAGGCCGTAAAACGAACGACGGACGGCCAAGACGACACGAAACGGATATACGAGCTGGAAACTGAAAAATAACCCCAAACCGAAACAAGGTGGAACCCGAAAAGAAGGCCAAGAAGCAAAAGGGGCAGTCTTCCCGACATTTAGCCCCGGATGCCCACGTTTAATGTGCGAATCGCTTCCCAAGTAGTTATTTCTTCATTTGTATGTAGGATATAAGTGATCTGGCAAAGGTAACCAAACTCTGAGAGAGATGTGTTACTAAACTTTGTAAGCATAGAACAAAAATAAATAGGAAAGGAAGTGTATATACCCTACACCCTAACGACTACATTTCGATTTCTATACCTATATTACTAAAAACAATGAAGCTATGTTGATTTTGGGCTGCATTTTGCCATCGTTTCTATGGCACCTACATATATGATATTGTTGTCCGAATTTGACAAAAGTAAAAGCGTAATTCTGATATAGTATATAATTACTATATCTCAAAGGAATATTTTGATAAATGGAAAAAGAGCAAAATAAAAGTTATACTTTTCAGTTATTAAATCCCGATTATAATATAAAGTTATATTTTGAATTCATTTATTGGAATACGTTAATTAATTAATTACGTTATACTATACATATATAAAACAAACAATACAGACACTTAAATTAAAATCAAATTTATATTATATATTATATATTATTATTAAATTACATTTTCCTGCGCAGCTCTTATAATATGTTCTGGGCAATAGGAGTTTGTAAATCAAATGCAAATTATTAAATATAAATGAATCTCTAACCCTTTCATATTTGGGACTCATGCGTCATGCTGTAACGGGAGAATGAATTAGCTTTGCCGGCTTTAAAGGGGATCACCAATTAGCATACATTTTGGAATTCGGTGATAATTGTTGGGTGTTCATCCGCTGTGGCTTTAACATCAGCCCAGCATAAATAAACCGGAAACCCTGGAGTGACATCTCCCATAGGGTATTAAGAAAAGGTACCTGGTACCCCACCTTCTACCGATCATACAGCCGGAACCAGCACGTGCAACGTTCCTTGAATACACACACCATCAGCTCGTGTTGCAAGAACGGGCAACCCTGTTGCAGGTTACATGCTACAAAGGGGATAAAGCTTTGTATTCCCAATAATTAGTTCCATATTCATTAGTAGTTTTCTTTCTGCTAAATTTTAAGAACGGTAAAAAATTGATATAAAAAAGAACAATTTTCAGCAGTACAATTTAAATATTTTATAAATTTAAGAAATTGTTTTTTTCTTGTTTTGTATAAAGGTAAATTATAAATTATTTTCAAAATAGACGTAGATGTCAGCAAATCTTCCCCTTAAGCCCCACAGTCATTTCAAGCTCAAACATTTAATATGAAAATATTAACGATAGAATTAATTCAAACATGGGCCAGCTGTTGCCAAACGATGGGTGAAAACAATATGCAAACGAATAATTAGAGGCGAACCATTCGGGTTGAGTTCAAAAACCCTCAATATAGCAATTCTCCATTCTTCGGAGATTCCAGCTAAGCACACAGATGAAGCTGATGTCACTGGAATTCTTGGGTGGGTGATGGGCTGGATTTTGGTGATGTTTTGAGTTTTTGGGTATAAAGGGGCTTGGCGTAGACAATTCACATCAGTTGCGATTGGAGCAAAAGTCTGAGAATGCGTGCCTACATTGCGATTACCCTTTTGGCCCTGGTGGCAGCGGTCGTGGCCCAAGGAGGTGGCGGTTATGGTCGCGGAGGACGCGGGGGAGGTGGTGGTTATGGTCCTGCATACGGCGGTGGCGGTGGCGGAGGTGGTGGTGGCGTTGGCGTTGGATTGGGCCTTCATGTAGGCCCTGGAGGCTTTGGTGGTGTACACGGTTTTGTCGGTTCCGGCGTTCCAGAACGTTTTGGAGGTCTTTTAGTTTTTGGAGGTCCTGGCGGTCCTGGCAGTCCTGGTGGTCCTGAAGGTTATGGAGGCTTCAATGGTGGTTTCGGATCGGGTCCACCGCGTCAACCTGGTACCCGAGGTCGGCCAGGTCGCCAAGGTCGTCCACATCACCCACATGACCCACGTCGCCCAAGACCTGTGCGCACCACCACGGAGAATAGTTTGCTTGACAAAACCACCGCTAGCTCTTCCGGCGAAAGCAGCTCCACTGATAGCACCACCGAGAGCAGCTCCACTGATAGCACCACCGAGAGCAGCTCCACTGATAGCACCACCGAGAGCAGCTCCACTGACACCACCACCAATTCAGGATAGATTTAAAGAGCAAATTTGTAGATTTGTAGAGCATTCAAAATGACCAAGAAATAGGTATTCAAAATAAATAAAATATAATTAATTTGGCTCACTCTTTTTTCTCAGATTATTTGTACAGAATGGTTATGATTTTTATTTATGTAATTAAATGTGATAACTAGCCAAAACAACACCAAATACTTAAGTGGTATTGTGCGCTTGGTCTATCCTAAAAGTATATTCTGTGTCAGGATAACTTTGTAGCACTGTATAAGATATAATCAAATATACTAGTACACGTACCTACACGTGTAATTTGCTTGTATTACATCTGGATTTTGGGCGCCAGTTACAACTAAAATTGCACGTGTACCTATATATTATTTTTAGGCACCCAGTTCCAGATTAAAGCCTTATAAGCCATAATAAAATTAGTGCCTTATTTTGGTTGCTCATCTGCAGTTGGATGAAGCTGGCACTTCAAAATTGACCACGTCTGTAGAAAGAAAACCATGCCCATAATTGAGCAGCGTTTAAAAAGCAAAGAGAAAGGAAAACAAGATATACTTTATAGGACCGGAAATGTCTCCTTCACTGCGTTGCAAACTTTTGACTGAAATCATAATACCCTCTGCAAGGGTATAACAAGGAGAAACCTGAAATAATCGACCGGTTTCCGGTGAGGGTACTTTTCAGAATAGCGTTTCAAAAAGGAAAGTCTTTATCCGGAAAAAGGACAAAATGGTAGCACTTCTCAATTTGCAGCAAATGAGCCGAAACAGTTACACTTGATAAGAATGGAAATTTCGTGTTCGATTTAATTGCCAGCCCCTGGAGCCCATGGAAAATCCATTGTTATTTAATTCACATATTCCGAGAAAATCATTGCGATCGGGGCAGGCCCATAAAGTAGGGTTTGAACAGAACTTTAAATAATCATAAGCCACGACCCAAAAAACTTCGCACAGCTGCCAACAGGCTGACGCCCAAGGACCAAGAAAAGTTTTGCGGCATAAACAACAAACAGGGGAAATTCGGGGGCTTGTGGGGCGGGGGAAATCGAGGGAAAAGAAAGCCATAAACTACAATTGAAAGAAACAACAAAGATATTGGTAGCAGCAGAAGCAGCAGAAGGCAAAAAGTAAATAAATAAATAAATAAATACATATGCAAAAATGCCAAACGGATTGGGCAAAAGTGAAATACTTTGATATGCATCTAAATGGCATCATCAGCATCATCCTTGCCCCTGCCCTTAACCCCCTACTGCCCAGGGGTTTTCAAGTGGGACAACAACAAGCACGCAGAAAAATCAAGTCGATTTTAAAATTGCTGACTTCGAAAATATAACAATATTATTTGTACTATATTAGCAATAAATGCTAAAGTTAAATAATATTTAATTAACAAAAAATTTCATAAATTAATGCATATTAGCCAAAATATAAATGTTCCAAATAGTTAAAACAAATAAGTAAAATTGTATTTATATTTGCATTTATAGTTCTAACCTTTTTAAACAAGCAGCATATTTAAAATAATTTTTAGCTACTAATAATTGAATATCATTTATTTGTTTAAATTATTAAACCAATTCTATAGTTACGTTTTATTTTCTAGGTAAAAACGTCTTTTGTTCGAACGACTAAAATAAAGATCTCAAAGCTAGTTTAAGAAATGTTAAGTTTAAATATTTACAACTTCCCTTTCAGTGCAGCATCAACATGAACAGCAGCAACAGCAACAGCAACCAAAGATGGCAATCAGTAACACTGCGATTGAGAAAGCAACAGCAAATAGAATAGGAATCAGGCAAAACAACAACAAAATTCAATGTTTGCAAAATCTGGTAAAATAAAAATAGTGCAAAAACAAAATCAGACCTGCCAACAGTAGCAAAAACAGCAAAAAAGGTATATAACACCAAGAGCGACAAACAAACAGAAAAAAAAACTCTGCAAATCATTTTGTGGGCCTTACATTTTATTTCGCCATTCGTTTGCCGCAGACAAAGTGAACACTGGGTCGAAAGGTTTATTCAAGAAATGGAAAAATTTTTAAATTAAAAAAAGGATATCTGAAAGTATGCAATAATAATAATAATAATAAAAATAAATTGTAAACTTTGATGCTATTTCAATCAACAATTCCGCTTGGGAGCCATTAAAAAACATAAATATAGTTATAGGTATTAAAATATATTTCTTTTTACAATTTATTGAGAATCATTTAGTTCTAATTTAAAATAAAAAAATTTAAATACAAAAAAAAAGCAAAAAAAATGTATAGTATTTTATGCAGTGCTTTAGTCCCACTGTGTCCGCCGCTTGAAAATCCTGCTCATCCTCTCTCACATATTGGTCGCTTTTGTGGCTTTGTAATGCAAATGTTTGGGCAACCCTGGCTGGTGATAGTGGAGCTCGACTGGGGTGAAATGGGGAAGTGGGGAGATGGGGAGATGGGATATACAATCACTATTGATGGCAACTCTGCAGCGACAACTCACTTCTATAGACATTGTAGCCCCGCTCGTCGGCAATGTAGTACTGCGTCTGGATTTGGTTTTTGGGCCCGGGAATGGGCACTGAGTTGTAGCCCTCCTGCACGATGATCACCTGGTCACCCACTTTCTTGGCGTACAGCTTCTTGTAGTTCACCAGTCCATTGCTCATCACTAATCTGGGGTATAGAAATCATTTTAAAGTGGTTACTACGAAATGTTTTGCTCAAATAAATCGTGGATTGAAAACCAGATATACTTAAGCATTTGGAGTCAAAAATATAAAAGCTACTTACACTTATATCTACTATTAAATAATATATAAGCTTAAAAATATATGTTCCTAAATTCATACATTTAAAAATTATAAATTCAAATGTTTAAATTAGTTTAAGCAATTATTTGTGACTTACAAAAATCATTTAAATAAATTTTGTATGAGATTAGTGATAAATATTTGGCAATAAGTATTGAGAAGGTATGTTCAATACTTAAATTGAAATCTTAAATTAATATCCTATGTTTTTTTTAAACTATTATTTTTAGAAATTAATTTCCTTGAATATTTTATAATTTATTCCCAAATCTTTGGTGCAATGTTTAGGACCACAGGAATCGAATTAATTACTTGTGACTTGCATACATTTCAGCTAATTAGTGCTGGCCAACTTACTTGTATTCCTCGGTGCCATTTGGGTGTATGACGTGATAGTTTTGCACAACATAAATGGGCGTGGGTGTGGGCGTGGGTGTGGGTGTGGGCGTGCCGGTGGGATGGTTGATGGTGACCGGTCGCGTAGTGCTGGATGTGGATGGTGGCGATGTTGGTGGTGCCAGTTCGTCGAAGAAATAATCAAGATTCTCCTCTTCAAAGTCCATTTGCGGAAATACGACCAATTGATCCTCGTACAATGGCCATATTTGCTCAGAAGGTGTCCCAATTTGGGTGGGTTTTGGGGTGGTGGTGCTGCTCTTTGTTGTTGTGGTGCTTCTGGCCGTTGTTGTTGTTGTTGTTGTGGTGGAGGTGGTGGCCAGCGGTGGACTAAAGTCATCACCATCCTCGATGTCAGTGGGCCAAACAACCAATTGTAATTCATAGACGGGCTGGCTGGACGAGGACTTCAAGTGGCGCTGCTGCCACTCCGGATTTCCCACCGGCTTCTCCTCCGGCTTATTACCAGTCCGTGGCCACGCCCCCTCTCCGTCAACGCCCCCTCATTGTGGCAGCCTAACGAGTCCATTGTCGCCGCATCGAAAGTCAATTTACAGTCGATGCGTCGGCCATCCACTTGAACGGAGGACTCCTTCTCCGATTCCGATTCCGATTCTGATTCTGATTCCGAATCCAGCTGCTCCGTATAGGGGCTTGGGTCGAGGTGCAGGTCCAGGTCCAGGGTGGTGGTGGTGGCAGTGTCCAGATCCGAGTCCGAGTCCGGGTCCGGATCCCTAACTATCCCGGCCTGCAGCAGAGGGATTAGTGTCGCCGCCAGCAGCAGCAACATCTCCGGCCGGATTCTGTTTGATGACATGTCTGCGGGCGCTTTTCCTTGCCTTTGCACGCTGCCAAAAGAGCCGGACTTGTATTTATACGAATCAAAGGCGTTCACGCTGCGGCTGATTTCAAGTCGCCTGAATCATCATCGTCAGCTGCACTTTGGCCATCAGGAATATACATATACAATACCGTTATGCGCCAGAATGCCAAATAAGCCGGCTTTGAGGCGGCCACTTTGGAGAAGGGCCAATAATAAACAGTCGGAGTGGACTTAACCCTTGAGTAAGGGACCAAAATGTTATATAAATACTATGGCACAAAATTAATTGTGTGGCCAAATAAATCTACAAAAGCACTAAGCACTAAAAACTATATAAATCAAAATGTATTTAAGTAATTTTTAATTGTTGCGCATCAAAATCATTAACATTTAATAAGGATTATTACTTATACGCATCGTTGCCTTCGATAATTTCCCACAAGCTTAATCGCACTTGGTAATAATTAAGTATGATTTTCAAATCGAACTAATCAAAAACATTAAACTTGAGACGAGCCCATTAAATCGAAATAATGTAAAACTATTTTCAATTGTTACGCAACAAAATGTAAAAATTCATTACTTATACGCATCGTTGCCTTCGGTAATTTCCCAAAGGCTTAATCGCACTTGGTAATAGGTTTTGAAGTGAATTAATCAATAATATTAAACTCGAGATGAACTGGACAGGAGTAAATTGTATGAGTTTGCCCGTAGCCCACCCAAGGGCTAAAATGCATCACACAAAAGCATAAGACGATGAGAATCGGTAAATTAATACTTAAATGGGAGACTTAAGTTTGCTTGTAACCCAACCGGTGGTTAAATTGCAGCTCATAAAACCGAAAATGATGAAAATCGGTAAATTAATACATGAATGGGAAGTGCAAGGCGCTTATGTGTAGGATTGCTAAAATCTTTATAAGCGCTGCATTGTGTGCAAACTCGTTAATGTGCTAATGGGTATTTGTTTCGGAATTTGTTTGCTCAAGGGGTGATCGAAGTTCATTGGTTTAGTTACTGAAAATACTTTTATTTCGTTTGTTTTTATATTTTAATTGATCAGTATGTTGCTTAAAAAATTGTAATTAACTGGGCTCTCATTTTCGTTTGCAATTTTTCAGCTTATTACTCACTATTTCCTTTTTTTGCAATTTTAGCAGTGTCATTTATATTGGGATTTTTCATGTCCGGTGCATCTGCTGTTCATGACTTGGATTTCTTGCTATTTTCCCTGATTTTCCTCGCTTATCTAATGGTGATTCTTCATCTTCTTTTCGGGTTGATTGTCATGTGGCATAAAGATATTTGCCGTTGCAAAATATTATTTTTAAAGCTTGCTTTTGGGGCAAGCCGGTTCTAATTTTAAATCATGTTGGCTGCTTATCTTGATCACATTCTGGTTTATTTTTCTGCTTTGATTTTCGGGTTTTTTCAAGGCCAGCCGGCTTTAAAATTTAATTCAATTTATATTTAATTGTATCAAAGGCGTCTTTAATGTGCAATTTGTCAAAAACTTTTTGATTTATGAGTCCGCAACAGCAAGCGGCTGTCAAGCAACTTGTTCACTTCACTCCACTTCTTTCCTTTTTTCCGTTTCTTCCATTCAGGAAAATGGAAAATCTCACACAGAAATTTCCCTGCAACGAAACATTTTCCACCAGCCCCCCCCCACATTTCCAGTTTCCTTTTTTCTTTACTTTTCTTGTTGGCACAAATTTAATTTGATTTGATTTTGGCCGCTGGACATGGCAAGCCCAAGGAAATTTCTAAGATTCTGTATACCTACTATATGTTTATTTACGCAAATATATATATATATATTGCCATTCGCCCCTAATATAAAACAGCAATCTTTCGATTTTTTTGTCGGAAGAGAATTTTAATTATTATTGGTGGTTTTTTAAGGCAAACAAATGAATTAACACATAAGAATATACAGCCTGTTAATGAACTCATCCAGGAAGTGATATTTAAATTTGAACATGCTTTATATATTTAATTATAAATGTACATAAAATACTCAAAATATTTTAGCTTTAAAATGCACACTGAATTACACACTTATTATATTATTAATATATAATATCATAACTAGAAAGTTAATTTTGTTGTTTTCAAAGCAATGTAGGGTATGTCAATGGAGTATCAGTGCATTGGGTCGTAGTCAAAAAGCTTAGGAATCTCCATTGAGGGAACAATTCATTTTAGGGAAATTGACAGACAATGGGAATGTTAATTGTTTGTATTTTCTGGTGAAATTTAATGCTCACCTTTGTAAAATCAATGGAAAACCCCAAATAATAGTTGGATTAAGTGTTAGTCAATAGCTGCATTTATATGCAATTTCCAATTAATATTGAATTTAAGTCCGATAAACTTTCAAACGAAGACGTAATTTGGCAGTAATATAAATATAAATATACGACGGCTATTAAATGCTGACCCACATTCCATGCAAACAAATCCAGTTTTTTGTTAAGTAAGTCCTTATTGAAAACCATTTCGATTCTTGGCAAATCTGGTTCCATTTACTGCACCCCGAAAATCATAAAATGTCTGGTTATGAGACCCCAAAAATCATATATAAGAAGTGGCGGTTCTTGCCACCACATCAAAGCGAATCAAGGCAAAGTCTGATAAAGAACAATTCCCAAGAAATCGAAGGAGAAGAGAAAAAGAGCATTCAACTTTAAGAAAACATGGCCAACAAACTGAGTTTGATCATCTTTATGGGTGTTTTAGCTGTGGGACTGGCTTTAACCACAACAACAGCAACCACTAGAAAACCCATGTCCACTTCCACTGAAGCGCCCATGAATAGCAGCCCCATGGAGTCCTTGGATCGTCGTGACAAACGTCAATTGGTAAGTTGAGAAACTGAAAATATTGTACTTCATATGGTATGCTTGTACAATATAAGTTCAAAATACTACACATTTTTATTAGCAAATCAACCCCTTTCACCAAACCATACTTAATAATAAAACTCTTAGAAATTTCTACTGTAAATAAATTGTTTCCTAATCAAATATTTTCAAAAAATTGCCCTGCATTTCAATTTTGCGAAATGTTATTTTATAAAAAAAAATTATTTCTGTGCATATATGCCTAATATCATAAAAACTAACCCAAAAAATTAATACGAATTTTAGTACATTTATAACAAAACTTACAGCAATACTGGAACACATAAATTATTTTTCCTATATATTTTTATAAAGTTAATGCACCACAACTGATTAAATCCCTTTAAGGTTATAACTCACTTGATTAACTATTTTTGGTGATTTTTTTCCTTTGCAGACTGGCAATGGTGGGCAGACCAGCTTGGCTGGTTCCAGTGGCACCTTCCCCATTTTCTTCGACGGGGTGAATGTGAATCCCCCCCTGCAGCAACTGCAGCCCCTGCAACCGCTGCCCCCCTCCAACAACTGCAGCCCCTGCAACCCATCACCGTGGTGACGCCCGTGGCCTCCAACTCGAATGCCCAAACCCAGCAGACGCAGCCCGGCTGGCTGCCCAGTTTTGGCCAGAACCTGCCCATAATTGGCACCTGGGTCGGTGGCCTGCCCAGTTTGATCAGCGGCCTGGGACTGGGCTCGCTGAATGGCGGATTCGGCACGCTGGGTGGCCTGAATCTGGGCAATCTGGGACTGGGCGGAGTTACTCCCGTGCTGCCGGCAGCAGCTCCTGGCCAAATCGCTGGCTCCTCGGCCAATCCGCAGGCCAGTTGTCCGCTCACCCAGAAGCTCAGCTGCCGCTGTGAGCCACTGCTTCAGTTGCCGGGCCTGAAGCCCATCTCCAATCCGCTGAGGGCCCAGCTGGTGCAGATCGTGCGGCAGAATGCCCGCAAGAATGACGACGGATCGCAGGAGGTGCGCGTGATCCTGAGCAGCGGACATGTGATCTACCAGCGCACCGCCAGGGATCTCGGCCAGAGTGGCTACCTGGCCATGAGGATCCAGTCGGGCAGGTACTTCAACATCTACTACAGTGTCAACGAGAAGGAGTACACCGTTCGGGCGGATGTCAAGGACACGCCCCCCGCCTCCGATCTCGATGACGAGCTGAGCGGGCAGTTTTAAATGGCCAGTAAAAAGAGGTTGGTGATGGTCGGTCCAAGTGAATGTCCCTGGGTTTTACTTTAAGTTTTTTTTTTTTAATTTTACTTCCCACAATTTATGTGAAAATCATTTCCAACTAATAAAAGCTGATAAATAACTTGCACTATTCAAAAGTTTGTATTACAACACTTTAAACTCCAAAATGATTTAAATAACCATATTTACAAACTAGAGGAATGGACTTTAAGAGAAAGTAAAAAGCTAAAAACCAAAAAAGCTCCTGGAGAAGATGGCCTGGACAATAGGACATTGAAGCTCCTACCCAAGAAAGCTATCCTATTTCTAGTACTATTGTTTAACAGCATACTCCGCATAGGGCACTTTCCAATGAGCTGGAAAACTGCTCTAATTACAATGGTCCCAAAGCCTGGTAAGCCTCACAATGAAGTGGATGGATACCGTCCAATAAGCCTGCTTCCTGCGCTTGGGAAAATGGCAGAAAGAATCGTCCTCAACCGGATCCTTCAACTTGAAGCGGTAAAGCGCCAAATACCAAAGTGGCAGTTTGGATTTAGGCGAGGCCATGGGACTCCGGAGCAATTGCATCGAGTGGTGAACTTCGCCCTAAGTGCAATGGAAGAGAAAGAATATGCGTTGGCCGTGTTCATGGATATTCAGCAGGCTTTTGACAGGGTGTGGCACGACGGCCTGCTCTTTAAGTTAAAAAGCATACTGACTCCTCAACTGTTCCAACTGGTAAGAAGTTTCTTGCAGGCCAGAAGCTTTAAAGTGGTTGTGGATGGAACTGAATCCCTGCTGCGTCCAATATGTGCAGGCGTCCCACAAGGAAGCGTGCTTGGGCCTACGCTATATACGCTATACACAGCAGATATGCCAACCGCTGAGGCGATAGCAGGGATTGATGTGAACGATGTTCTTATTGCAACGTTTGCTGACGACACTGCCGTGCTGACGAGAAGCCCAATTATCCACACAGCTTGGCAAGCTCTACAAACCTATGTTCACAGCTTCGATAACTGGGCAAAGAAGTGGAACATAGGAGTCAACAGCAGTAAGTGCGCAAACGTTACTTTCTCAACGAGAACTAAGTCCTGCGGTGCGATCACTATGTCGGGCTCTACACTGGAGCACAAAGAGTCCCACAAATACCTGGGTGTCATACTTGACAGGACGCTCAACTTCCAAGCACACACCACAATGGTAAAGCATTCTGTCCTGCAGAAGGCCAAGAGAATGGAGTGGCTGCTCTCACCGCAGAACAAGCTGACCCTGCGCAATAAGATTGCAATATACAAGGTGATCCTTTGCCCTATATGGAAATACGCTTTCCAAATATATGGCTGTGCAGCGAAGTCCAATCTAAATAAAATTAGGGTGGCGCAATCCAAAATTTTGAGGAAAATTTCCGGCGTCCCATGGTACATCCGAAATAGGGACATCGAGAGGGACCTGAAGATCCCCAAGGTCGGAGACGTTTTACAAAACCTGGCAACCGGCTATGTGCAACGCCTTGGAAACCATCCTAACGCATTGGCCAGACAGTTAGCAGCGCAACCGACGAGAAGACGCCTAAAAAGATGCCACCCAGCCGATTTACCCTCAAGGGCCATAACATAAATGTATAACATAAATGTATATGAATGTAGTAAAATGTAAGATATTGTATATGTGATCAAGTGATCTTTTTGTTTTTGTTTTTCCCATATGTAACTAGATCAAGTTGCCTCAGCGGTAACAGTAAACTTGTTAATACCAAATAAAAATATAAATTAAATTATAAAAAAAAAAAAAAAAAAAAAAAAAAAAAAAGAAAGTATAATATCTTAAAGGGTTTGTTGTCATTAAAAGACACTCAAAATGGTAGCATATGTTGGGCGAACCCAGGTCCAAACTCAACCCCTCAAAACTTTCCCATAAACTGTATTAATCCAAATTGTATTCGTTAACTTGCTTTTTTTGGACTGCTACAACTACAAACTAGCTGCGAAAGAAATAAACAACAATGAAACACATTTCCGGCGATTGCTCCTTTGGGAGAAAAAGTTGAGCTACAAAGACAAATATTCATGGGAGTGCGGCAATAAACTTGTCTTTTATTGCCATAGATGTTGTTAAAGGGTTAACAAGGAGGTGGAAAGGGCTCTCAACCCAACTAATCTTCAGTCAAATTGAGGAGCTGCAACAATTACAGGCGTCTCCCAGAGAAGCATGAAATATGTTCTACATGCAGAGAAATAATAATAACATTATGACTGGCTTAGATACAAATATTACAAATATACTGATACATTTTAAATTTATTTGGAAAATGTAGCTGTATTTTAATATACAGCAAAATTAATAAGAGAATGATATACAATTTAAAAATGAAACTATGTTTTTCATACTTATGTTATGGTATGTTTATATGTGGTATACAAATTTAAGCTCATATAAATGCAAATACTAAAAAACAATGTTATTCAAATGATTAAATTAACACTATTTGATCTGTTTGCTAGACAAAATAGAACATTTTTTAACGAATTAGTATTTATTTGTGTTCGGAGGCCAGCAAACAAACAAAGAGCTCTATGGGCAATGGAAATGCAGCTGTAAAACGCCATTTCCCCCCGCGGCTTTCCACTCCTTCGCTTTTCTGCACTCCACTTTTCACTCTTGCCTTTCAAGTTGAGTCGAGAAGTTTCGCAATGAGCCGGGAAATGGAAACTGGCAGGATATGGCCGGAAAAGCGGAGTCGAGTAAATGGGGACCAGCGGGGCGATGTATAATTAAAAGTTCCCTTTTGTGCCGGGATTGGTGGATCCTCCAAAAAGGCAGCAGCATTTTGATCCTTTCAAGCAGCGATTTGTCAGTAAGCCAGAAGTAGTTCTTAAATCCACGCAAATAGTTTTCCAGCTTTGCAAAGCGGTTAAGCGCTGTGTATTCATATTTTCTGGGCTTAACATTAATCCAATGATTAATAAACATTTCTCAAAAGAGGAAAATAGTAGCATTTTAAATTGAACCACTTTCTATTGTATTTAGTCTGATTAAAAAAAAACACTTGCATTATCTGCAAAAAATAATTTATAAAAGATAATAAATACAACTTTTAAAAGCGAGCTTAATTCTTTAAGCCAGATTAAAGATAATTTGGTTTATAAATTCAAATAAATAGAAAACACAAATTGAAAATGTTCAATGTGATTGACTTTAATACTTCGGAACGCACAATTTAAAGGTAAAAAAAAGTACATTTACTTTTGTTATTGGAAAATATGGTTATTTCTGCAAAAAAAAACCATTTATTGACAATAAATATTACAAAAAATCAGAAGCTCTAGTGTCAATGTGGCTGCTTATTTTAGTCAAATTCTGATCAAATATAATCAGCTTTATTAACCAAGCATTTAAATAGCAAAATTGCTCGATTTTCGATTATGGAACATGAATTTACGATGGGTTCGAATTGATTTTGCTCTCGGTTCTGTCCCTTCACCGCTTCCTGCAACTAATTCACCCAGCTAGTGGATGAAAGTTTTTCCTGAGGGGGCGTAGGGGCGGAGGCGGGGGCGTGGCTGGTAATGAAACCACATTCCTCAGTGCCCACGAAACTTTCGCAAATCATAAATGGTCCCGGGACACACATACTGCAGTTTAGTGACTAACCAGCTTTTAAGGCCCCCTTTTTGGACTAGCTGTTGAACCCCCTTTGGAACCCCCTTTGAAACCTCCTTTGGAACACCCTTTGGAACCCCCTTTGGAAACCCCCTTTGGAAACCCCCTTTGGAACCCCCCTTTAACCACCTTTTTAAACCCCATTTTATCCTGCCTTACCCCACTTTAACCACTGGCTCATTGGTTATGCCAATTGCAAAAAGTCCTGGGCAACAATTGAAATTGCCGGACTCGTTGATGAGTCTTTAAGCTCTGGCTGCAGCTGAAGCCCCGCCCCTAATTACGTATTACCAGATGACTGCCATTACGTACTCCCTGAACCACCCCTCACCCACTCACCCCCTCTCCCCGCTGCGCCCCTGCTCCCAGGCACTTTTTAAAGTTGGAGCATCTTAAAGTGCTGCCCTACGCACCATTAAATCCACTGAATGTTCCACATTTCGGTTGGCTTTGGTTTGTTGATGTTTCTACTTTTGAGTGGGCGGTATCGAGGGTGGTGGTTCAGAGGGTCAAAGGGGGGTTACTGGCGGTAATGTGGAGGGCTGTATCCATTAGCCGATATGGCAGAGGAGCAATGGAGGAGAGGAACCCGAGCCCAAAGCCAGACTTGTGGCAACCGCAGACCGACGTGAGTGACCGGCGACGACTAGACAGTGCGAGTATGTGTGCGTTTGACCCCCATGCCACGCCCCCCGAAAGCAGGATGCACCTAGCCTAAAGCCGAAGCCGAAAGCCCCTTCCGTTCGCCGCCCCTGGCTACCCTCGAAAAAGTGCCGCATTGTGTGGCCAAAAAGCGAAACCGCGACTGCAACTGGCCCAGCGATAGAAAGGACACTGGAAAAAAAACACGACCATAACTCTAACTAATTTAACGAAATTCCAATTTTTTTTATTTAATAACCACTTTAAATAAAGATAAATCTTTGGAGCTCTATAAATGTTTTAGGGCAGGGGAATATGAAAGTCACAGAAAAAAATATATTCGCATAATCTATCTTCAAATCAAATAAAGAACATAAGACTTGGGCAATTGAATATTGTGTAAAAAAAAAAAATATAATTTTACTAGAAGTTATTAAAAGGAGTTATTACATCAAAAATTGATAGTTTCTTTCAATCCGACAAAGCTTCAAATTGCAAAGTCTGTTATATTTACTTGCTGTTTTTCCTTATAACACTAACAAGTGCTTTTTCCAGTGTATGAAAGACCAGCAAAGCGGCCAGAAAAGGAGGACCAGAAAGCAGGACCCATGGTGAACGGATGCGAATCGAGAGCGGAAAGCGTGACAGATAGATGGGCTGGGGCAGCAAGGGGTTAATGAAAGAGGGAATTTAGTTCGAGGCACTGTGGAAATGATTAAAATGTATTAGGCAAAATTAAGTTGGTTAAACAGAGAAAAGAGGGGGGAAATGAAGAAGCAAAAATAGGGTTAAAACTGAGAAAAAAGAAAGCAGAGAGTAATGGAACAGGTAGAGCGAGACAAATTCATTAGTCTCCTTTTCATAAAAGCATTACCCCTATTCCCAGCCATACGTTTTCCCCAATGCAAACTCTTTTAGGGCTGCAATTCTTCAGTTAGTACTTAACTCCGAGTTAGGCAAAAGTGTTTTCGATTTAAAATGCTGGCCATTGCTTTATTTCACAGAGAATAACAAAATCCCTACAAAGTTGATTTGAAGCATTTTAATCCACCACATTTTCGCCAGTTTCAGAACATGCTGTTTTTTAGGTCAAGTTTGCGCTATCTGAGTATAATTGGTTTAAAAGAAGCGGGAGGAAAACTGATAGAAAAGCGGGGGCAACACAAGGGGAACCCCCTCAAAGCTTAATAGTCCCCCGCCCCTGCGGAATTTGCAAGCCACTGTAAACAGGTGCAAAGCTTGCACAGTAATTTCACCGACCGCCCTCAACTTTTTCGTTCAGCTTTACACTTTTTCCCTCGTTCAAATAGTTGTAAATGGGCAAAACAACAAACAAAAACTGAAATCCACTTGAAAGGGAAAACAAGAAAAATCATTGAAAGGCAACAATGCTGGGAAAACAAAAGTAAAACGAAATGCAAAGCCAGCGACCACCAAATAAGTGGAGTGCGTGGGCCAGTGGAACTGCGGGAAATCGTATGCAAGAAAGTCAAAAGTGCTGAACAAATAAAGGATCAAGCGATATCCTGCACTCAATCGAACGAGGAATATAGGGTGGATAACTGAAGAATCAGGCATATACAAACTAAAATGATAATTGGCCAGTAAACAAGTGATTCCAAGTTATACAGCTCAACAAAATATTTAATCCAAAATATTTGTTATATTTCAGAACATCAAAAATAATTCGTTTACTTTTATGAACACCTAATTGATTTTTAATTATTTCAATATTCTTATAAGCAATTGTATTTTTGGCAGTCAAAAAATAAAGGGAAAAAAAAAATGATACTGATGATAATAACTGTCTAGATCCTCGTCAGGACCTCATAGTTCTCCAGACGCACCTCCTCGCCGCCGAACGGGATGTAGATGCAGCCGTGCGACGGGTGGATCTTGCCCACGCTCAGACTGTCACAGTAGGTGGCCCTGCCCACGTACAGGGGCTCCCCGTCGACATTGGGGCCGGAGGATAGTGCTCCGGGGGCCACGTGTCCGTGGGAGGCCGGCACCCAGTGGAAGCCCGATCCCGTGAGCACCTGGACATCGGTGAGCTCGTGCTCCGCCTGCGCGTAGGCGGCATAGGCCTTTCCCTTGGCCGGCACCACTTTGGCCGGCAGCAGGTCTCCGTTCCGGAAGACCCTGCCCACGTAAATGGTGTCCCCGTTGGAATCGTACCCGGCCACCAGGGCGCCATCCGGGATATTCGTCGCCGTGGTGTCGATCCAGCGCTCCGGCTGGCTGAGCACCTCGTATGTTGGGCGAACCCAGGTCCAAACTCAACCCCTCAAAACTTTCCCATAAACTGTATTAATCCAAATTGTATTCGTTAACTTGCTTTTTTTGGACTGCTACAACTACAAACTAGCTGCGAAAGAAATAAACAACAATGAAACACATTTCCGGCGATTGCTCCTTTGGGAGAAAAAGTTGAGCTACAAAGACAAATATTCATGGGAGTGCGGCAATAAACTTGTCTTTTATTGCCATAGATGTTGTTAAAGGGTTAACAAGGAGGTGGAAAGGGCTCTCAACCCAACTAATCTTCAGTCAAATTGAGGAGCTGCAACAATTACAGGCGTCTCCCAGAGAAGCATGAAATATGTTCTACATGCAGAGAAATAATAATAACATTATGACTGGCTTAGATACAAATATTACAAATATACTGATACATTTTAAATTTATTTGGAAAATGTAGCTGTATTTTAATATACAGCAAAATTAATAAGAGAATGATATACAATTTAAAAATGAAACTATGTTTTTCATACTTATGTTATGGTATGTTTATATGTGGTATACAAATTTAAGCTCATATAAATGCAAATACTAAAAAACAATGTTATTCAAATGATTAAATTAACACTATTTGATCTGTTTGCTAGACAAAATAGAACATTTTTTAACGAATTAGTATTTATTTGTGTTCGGAGGCCAGCAAACAAACAAAGAGCTCTATGGGCAATGGAAATGCAGCTGTAAAACGCCATTTCCCCCCGCGGCTTTCCACTCCTTCGCTTTTCTGCACTCCACTTTTCACTCTTGCCTTTCAAGTTGAGTCGAGAAGTTTCGCAATGAGCCGGGAAATGGAAACTGGCAGGATATGGCCGGAAAAGCGGAGTCGAGTAAATGGGGACCAGCGGGGCGATGTATAATTAAAAGTTCCCTTTTGTGCCGGGATTGGTGGATCCTCCAAAAAGGCAGCAGCATTTTGATCCTTTCAAGCAGCGATTTGTCAGTAAGCCAGAAGTAGTTCTTAAATCCACGCAAATAGTTTTCCAGCTTTGCAAAGCGGTTAAGCGCTGTGTATTCATATTTTCTGGGCTTAACATTAATCCAATGATTAATAAACATTTCTCAAAAGAGGAAAATAGTAGCATTTTAAATTGAACCACTTTCTATTGTATTTAGTCTGATTAAAAAAAAACACTTGCATTATCTGCAAAAAATAATTTATAAAAGATAATAAATACAACTTTTAAAAGCGAGCTTAATTCTTTAAGCCAGATTAAAGATAATTTGGTTTATAAATTCAAATAAATAGAAAACACAAATTGAAAATGTTCAATGTGATTGACTTTAATACTTCGGAACGCACAATTTAAAGGTAAAAAAAGTACATTTACTTTTGTTATTGGAAAATATGGTTATTTCTGCAAAAAAAAACCATTTATTGACAATAAATATTACAAAAAATCAGAAGCTCTAGTGTCAATGTGGCTGCTTATTTTAGTCAAATTCTGATCAAATATAATCAGCTTTATTAACCAAGCATTTAAATAGCAAAATTGCTCGATTTTCGATTATGGAACATGAATTTACGATGGGTTCGAATTGATTTTGCTCTCGGTTCTGTCCCTTCACCGCTTCCTGCAACTAATTCACCCAGCTAGTGGATGAAAGTTTTTCCTGAGGGGGCGTAGGGGCGGAGGCGGGGGCGTGGCTGGTAATGAAACCACATTCCTCAGTGCCCACGAAACTTTCGCAAATCATAAATGGTCCCGGGACACACATACTGCAGTTTAGTGACTAACCAGCTTTTAAGGCCCCCTTTTTGGACTAGCTGTTGAACCCCCTTTGGAACCCCCTTTGAAACCTCCTTTGGAACACCCTTTGGAACCCCCTTTGGAAACCCCCTTTGGAAACCCCCTTTGGAACCCCCCTTTAACCACCTTTTTAAACCCCATTTTATCCTGCCTTACCCCACTTTAACCACTGGCTCATTGGTTATGCCAATTGCAAAAAGTCCTGGGCAACAATTGAAATTGCCGGACTCGTTGATGAGTCTTTAAGCTCTGGCTGCAGCTGAAGCCCCGCCCCTAATTACGTATTACCAGATGACTGCCATTACGTACTCCCTGAACCACCCCTCACCCACTCACCCCCTCTCCCCGCTGCGCCCCTGCTCCCAGGCACTTTTTAAAGTTGGAGCATCTTAAAGTGCTGCCCTACGCACCATTAAATCCACTGAATGTTCCACATTTCGGTTGGCTTTGGTTTGTTGATGTTTCTACTTTTGAGTGGGCGGTATCGAGGGTGGTGGTTCAGAGGGTCAAAGGGGGGTTACTGGCGGTAATGTGGAGGGCTGTATCCATTAGCCGATATGGCAGAGGAGCAATGGAGGAGAGGAACCCGAGCCCAAAGCCAGACTTGTGGCAACCGCAGACCGACGTGAGTGACCGGCGACGACTAGACAGTGCGAGTATGTGTGCGTTTGACCCCCATGCCACGCCCCCCGAAAGCAGGATGCACCTAGCCTAAAGCCGAAGCCGAAAGCCCCTTCCGTTCGCCGCCCCTGGCTACCCTCGAAAAAGTGCCGCATTGTGTGGCCAAAAAGCGAAACCGCGACTGCAACTGGCCCAGCGATAGAAAGGACACTGGAAAAAAACACGACCATAACTCTAACTAATTTAACGAAATTCCAATTTTTTTTATTTAATAACCACTTTAAATAAAGATAAATCTTTGGAGCTCTATAAATGTTTTAGGGCAGGGGAATATGAAAGTCACAGAAAAAAATATATTCGCATAATCTATCTTCAAATCAAATAAAGAACATAAGACTTGGGCAATTGAATATTGTGTAAAAAAAAAAATATAATTTTACTAGAAGTTATTAAAAGGAGTTATTACATCAAAAATTGATAGTTTCTTTCAATCCGACAAAGCTTCAAATTGCAAAGTCTGTTATATTTACTTGCTGTTTTTCCTTATAACACTAACAAGTGCTTTTTCCAGTGTATGAAAGACCAGCAAAGCGGCCAGAAAAGGAGGACCAGAAAGCAGGACCCATGGTGAACGGATGCGAATCGAGAGCGGAAAGCGTGACAGATAGATGGGCTGGGGCAGCAAGGGGTTAATGAAAGAGGGAATTTAGTTCGAGGCACTGTGGAAATGATTAAAATGTATTAGGCAAAATTAAGTTGGTTAAACAGAGAAAAGAGGGGGAAATGAAGAAGCAAAAATAGGGTTAAAACTGAGAAAAAGAAAGCAGAGAGTAATGGAACAGGTAGAGCGAGACAAATTCATTAGTCTCCTTTTCATAAAAGCATTACCCCTATTCCCAGCCATACGTTTTCCCCAATGCAAACTCTTTTAGGGCTGCAATTCTTCAGTTAGTACTTAACTCCGAGTTAGGCAAAAGTGTTTTCGATTTAAAATGCTGGCCATTGCTTTATTTCACAGAGAATAACAAAATCCCTACAAAGTTGATTTGAAGCATTTTAATCCACCACATTTTCGCCAGTTTCAGAACATGCTGTTTTTTAGGTCAAGTTTGCGCTATCTGAGTATAATTGGTTTAAAAGAAGCGGGAGGAAAACTGATAGAAAAGCGGGGGCAACACAAGGGGAACCCCCTCAAAGCTTAATAGTCCCCCGCCCCTGCGGAATTTGCAAGCCACTGTAAACAGGTGCAAAGCTTGCACAGTAATTTCACCGACCGCCCTCAACTTTTTCGTTCAGCTTTACACTTTTTCCCTCGTTCAAATAGTTGTAAATGGGCAAAACAACAAACAAAAACTGAAATCCACTTGAAAGGGAAAACAAGAAAAATCATTGAAAGGCAACAATGCTGGGAAAACAAAAGTAAAACGAAATGCAAAGCCAGCGACCACCAAATAAGTGGAGTGCGTGGGCCAGTGGAACTGCGGGAAATCGTATGCAAGAAAGTCAAAAGTGCTGAACAAATAAAGGATCAAGCGATATCCTGCACTCAATCGAACGAGGAATATAGGGTGGATAACTGAAGAATCAGGCATATACAAACTAAAATGATAATTGGCCAGTAAACAAGTGATTCCAAGTTATACAGCTCAACAAAATATTTAATCCAAAATATTTGTTATATTTCAGAACATCAAAAATAATTCGTTTACTTTTATGAACACCTAATTGATTTTTAATTATTTCAATATTCTTATAAGCAATTGTATTTTTGGCAGTCAAAAAATAAAGGGAAAAAAAAAATGATACTGATGATAATAACTGTCTAGATCCTCGTCAGGACCTCATAGTTCTCCAGACGCACCTCCTCGCCGCCGAACGGGATGTAGATGCAGCCGTGCGACGGGTGGATCTTGCCCACGCTCAGACTGTCACAGTAGGTGGCCCTGCCCACGTACAGGGGCTCCCCCGTCGACATTGGGGCCGGAGGATAGTGCTCCGGGGGCCACGTGTCCGTGGGAGGCCGGCACCCAGTGGAAGCCCGATCCCGTGAGCACCTGGACATCGGTGAGCTCGTGCTCCGCCTGCGCGTAGGCGGCATAGGCCTTTCCCTTGGCCGGCACCACTTTGGCCGGCAGCAGGTCTCCGTTCCGGAAGACCCTGCCCACGTAAATGGTGTCCCCGTTGGAATCGTACCCGGCCACCAGGGCGCCATCCGGGATATTCGTCGCCGTGGTGTCGATCCAGCGCTCCGGCTGGCTGAGCACCTCGTAGCCAAAGATCTTCACCTCGTCGGAGTCGTAGGGGATGTACAGGCAGCCGTGGGAGGGATGCACCTTGCCCATGGTGAGGCTGCCGGCATGGTAGCCCCTGCCGGCGTACAGGAACTCCCCGTCCACGTTGCGGCCGACCTTGACCGCTCCGGGCGGCACCTCACCGTTCTCCGCCGGCAGCCACTCGTAGTTGTATCCCGACAGCACCTCGTAGTTCTCCAGTTCGTGCTCCTCGCGCGCATACGCCACGTAGGCCCTGCCCTTGTTCGGGATCACCTTCGCCGGCAGCATGTCGTTGTGGAAGAAGGCGCGGCCCACGAAGATCGTGTCCCCGTCCGAGTCGTGACCCGCCACCACGGCGTTTGGCGGCACGCTGCCGTGGCTGAAGTGCATCCATCTGTGGTCTGCGGAGCAACAGGGAAATATTACGAATTTGTACTATAAATATACTGCGCATCCATTATACCTCTAAGAAAATGTTTAACCAGAAAGGAAGCACCCTTGCAGCTATTACAAAAACTAAATATTCTACATTTCGATTTGTATGCATATACATATGTTTAAAAACAATGAAGCTTCGTTTGTCATTATAACGATAACTTGCTTGTTTGTTCCTTTGGCAGCTATACGTTATATTGTCAATGGTCAAAATAATTATTAATAGTTCTAGTGGAACCTATATGACGTAGACTTACACACTACCTGCAATGTTGTTTCATTCACATAGCTTAGAGGAAACTAACAGACTCTTCTGGCAATGTTTATCAAAAATATATATATTTTTTTATATGGTCGGGAATGCCTATTAAACTGCTTAGCAGTTTATATTACCCTTGCAAAGTTATACAAATATATATCTTAAATTTGGAACAAAAAAAATATGTGGTCCACTAAATTACAAAAAAAAATATCACAGTTCATCAGACATCTCAAATTTTTGAAAACCTATTATAACTTGTAGCATTACAATGCTGTAAACAAAAGTGTAACTAACTTAATTAAATAGCAGTCCGTTCAAATGATTCCCTGTTATGGAATCTCCCATTTTAGTTGCCGACTTGATTACCTGTCATTTTGCTTGTCCGTTCTCCAGCAGCTCCGGCGTCCAACTGAAAAGGTGAACCGTTTAATGGCCTTTCCGTGTTTCCGTCCTATGAAGTTTATAGTGCTCACAAGTCCAGATAAGAGACCCAACCTTAGATAACTCGTATCTTGTAAACCCCATGCTTGACATTCGCACAATTGGGTTGGTTTAGAGGCAGCTAATTGGAAGTAATTCTTTAATTAAAAGCCAATTTAAGTAATTCTCGGGAATCGAAAAATATTTACCTCATATAAAAATGGGTTCACAAATTGATTAATACAATTTTAAATTTTATTGCAATTTACATCACCGACATAGTTTAATACATTGAGTCAATCTAAAAAAGTTCCCCATTTCTGGAGAATTTCGGTTTTATTACTTACCTGCGGATGTCATGGAAATTTCGAACCACCGCGAATCGTTATACTAGACTTGCTATCAAATCGGTTATCAATTAACAACAATCGGTTGATTTTTGGCCATAAATTGTCGTCTACTTATAACATAATTAAACATTTGCACTCGCGAAGTGACTAAACGAATAATCGGTCGAGGGCGAGTCGTAAAACTCAGCCAGATATCGCAGTTATCAGAAAATAAATATAGTTCATTCAACGCTTAACAAAATTTTTCAATGTCTCTGGCTCCACCTACGGGAGAATAGAAAAAACTTTGGGGGAACAACTTCAAGCACGCCACCTATGAAGATTCCGGTTGGTTTCGCCGCCGTCCGATAGGTGGCGCTGGTAGCGATAGCTTCCTTAGCAAGGACACAACCTTTCACAGTTTGCCAGTACAAAAACCAAACGTTAGCGATGGGAAAACAGCCACCAACGCTTATCGATAGTTAGCGGTGACTTACTCCGCAGGTTTCGGAGACACGCTCCTCGGGGACTTAGACCACGCTTACACTTGAACTGCGTTATTGCGCGCGTGTACTCGAGCTTACTAAGTGTAAGTGGTATTTCTGCTTGCTTACTTTAAAAAATAGAGTAATATTCGATTCCCATTCCATGGGAACCTGAGTTTGACATCTGTCAAAAATCGCAGTCAATGGGAATTGTGTGAATCGGCCATAACTCCGCAGTTAGCGAGTACAACCACCATTTTAGTTCCTTCTTAGAGGTGCAACAATATTGATCGAAAATTACCTTACATTTTTCATAATATATTTCAGCGTTTAATTTAGCAAGCATTTCCTACAGTGCTATGATCAAAGAGCATTTTGCATGGGGTGACCAGTGAGTAGAAACTTACAGAGTTCGGTGGGAAGTTTAAGCGGCTTTAAACTCGTTATGGGTGGGAAAACATGATTACATCTGGTTAAACATCGATGTCACCGATTTTTCGTAAACATCGATTGAACCGACGCTATAATCGGCGTATCCCCACCCCTAACTGCTTTGTTGTTGGTTTCGTCGCTCGGAAGAAAGTCGCGATTTTAGCTTAGTATTGCCAACTTCAGACCTAAAACGAGTGGTTAACTTGGCTGCGCTAAAACGAACGCGCTGCAACTTTTTTGGCGAGTGCAGAAATTGCAGCCGAAACTGAAAAGACGTGAGTGCGACAAAGTGTCGCGTGACGAAGTGTGTGCGCTGCATTTGTTTACGATTCTCCTGCGGAAGAGGAGAAAGAGGAAGTGCACACGCAACGTGCAACATTGTGTGTGTTTGTTTGTTTGTGTGGCGAAAATACAACAAGTGCAAGCAACAATAATAACCGCAACAACAAATAACATAAACAAAAATTCATATTTTAAGCGAGCCAGCAACAACAACAAGGGGAGTAAAAAAGGAAGGGAGACAGAGAGCTGTTGTTGCTGCCTCACACTGATAGCAATGATTAGTGAGGAATCCGGCGCTGCAACAAGAAACCAAGTAAAATATACCGATTAACTTATTATTTTTGGGGAATATATTGGAACCCCTTCTTATCAGGAAACTGAATGCTTTTCCTGAGTTAAATTTGGATTTTTTGTTTATTGCGGCACTGCTTATTTCGTCACCTACGTGGCCGTGTCAGATTGATTCTACTTCTCTTATTGGAAAATATACAGTTCACCCGGTTTTACTTAATCAATCTTTTAGATGATTAATGGAGAATTCGACGCTTTAGCAACAATGTTCCGCTTAACTAATAAGCTTTGGGAATCTTCCTATATCAAAGATTTTTAATGGGCTTAAAGTTTTTATTTATGTTTGTATGTATGCATGTTTACTGCGGGAATTTTGTCACCCATGTACATATGTATGTATGGGCCTGGCCTTTTATTTTAATGGGAGACCATATAAAAAAAATTCAGTACTTAGTTGTTTAATAAAAGAGTTAAATCAATGATTGTTTGAATAATTAAACAAAAATAAGCCGGTACAACAACAATTAGTTAAATATTCCGCTTAATCTCAATCACTCATTAAAACCTTTATTAACGTATCTTCGAATTATTTCGTCAACTACGTAGTCGATCGCTACTTTTACTACAGTGTGCGCTTTAAAGAGTGAACATTTACTTAAATACGATGCAGTAGAGTAAACTCATTCTTCTCCATAAGCAATTATTTACGAAATGGTTAGATGTTTAGTCACCTATAGTTAAAAGTTGCTTAATTTTTGTGCAATATAAAATATATACTTCAAAATAAAAATAGTAACCAAGAAAGCTATTATTTTAAATTTGGTTTCATTATAAAACCAAATTTCTTTGTTTTACATTTCATATTTTTTGAAGTTTCTGTAACCAGTTAATGTTGTAAATTTTTTCTCTACGTTATCGAAGTGTTGCCATTATTTTTGCGGTTTCAGCTTCTTTCTCTACTTCAACTCTTCTTTTTCTGGTTCTTGCTGCAACTTCTTCTTCCTAATGAGAGTGCTTCAATTTCAATGCAATTTTTTTTTTGCAACTCGCGCTTTTTTTTACATATGTGAGAATCTCCAGCTGTGGCTGGCTGTGTGTGTGTGGATGTGGGTTTGCGATTTGAAGTTGCAAAAAGGGGCGCTTCATTTGTTCGGCCCCCTGTGCCGCCTCCTTTTGCCACGCCCCTGCTTCGTACCTTTGGGCGGGATTTTCGTTTTATTTTGTCAAAGTTTGTTGCACTTTTCGCAGTCGGCGCGAACAAGTCCTTCGCATCCGGTCTTCTTTTGTCCCTTTTCTGGCGTTTCATTCCCCTTTTTTAGCCCCCATCTAGTGATGCTTTTTTTTATTTAATATATTTTTCTCTTTCAACAATTAGTCGCAGCTGCTGGAAGTGCAGAAATGCAAAAATGCAGAAATGCAGCGGTATAAACAGACACAGAAACGGCGATAGACAAAAGGACTACAGTAAAACCTGAAGTCTAAAAGATATTCTAAAGAATTTGCTGAAGAAATACATTCGAGCATACCAAATATACGTAATATTTTAATTCAGTATTACTTTAGGTTTGCCTTCTCTTATTAAAAAAATGTATCTATAGATGTTTTAAATTCTCAGAGGCTATTTGCAAAAGCTACATAAACTGTGCAATAAAAGACAGACCTTTGGTTTCTAAGCATTATTGTCAATAACCACCAATTGTCACTTCCCAAAGTTGTAAAAAATGTTTTGAAATTATAAAAGAAAAAGTATCTTTAAAGGCGAATGACCACTGTAAATGCATCTGCCTCCCATATCTCTGCGCTGGCTTATTTATGTACATATTTCACTTGGCACTTGTTATATTTATACGCTCCACACACACTTACAGCTCCTCTTTCTCTTTCTCTTCCTCCTCCCCTCTACTCGTCCTCCCCCCTCCTCCTTTCGACCCATGTTCCCATTTACCCCCGACCCCTTCCCCTCTGTGTCGTCATCAGTATGCCAGTTGTCACTTCATCTTTTTAAATGCGCCTCATGGTTTTCAATTTCGAGAAACAAGTGGCCCAAAAGTGATTCTAACCAAGTGCCCATATTACATGTACACACAGAGAAAATATCACGATAATTAGCCATCTAAGTTCGCTTCAAATATCTCTTGCTTAATATATTTTAATTATACTTTTAAAGGTAAGGAGAGGAGTTGTATGCAAGGCCAAAAGCGCTTACTGACGATAGGGGTTGGCTATTATATTTTGAAATTTAATTTTAAGCAATGTTAAAAATCTAAGACAGTTTTTGAAAATAATATTGTGTAAAAGATATACTGTATTTTGTTCTTTCTCTTTTTTGTCAAGCCGGTATTAGTACTTTAAAAATGAAATATTAAACATGTCTGTTAAGTCCCAAATTTAAATTATTTAATGTTATAAATAAAAACCTTTTTATTTCAAGAAATTGCCTTCTAAAAATATAAAATTAAGTTCCACAACTAAAACAAATTAGATGCAAGTTTATTATATCATCATATGATTACAATGTCGTGACTTTAGCCATTTTGCTAGTTGAGTATAATAAATAAACAAATGTAAATGACAAAAGGGATCTAATTTTCACCGTGTATAAGCAATACAACCCCCCCTCTGTAATTTTCCCCCCCTTTTTTCTGACTTTCAATGACGCCTCTTTGCTTTCGGGCAAACTGCAGCCAAATGAAATTAGTCGTTGGAGTTGCTTTAAAAGGAGCTGCGAACACGACAGATATACAGATGCAAACTCAATAAGCCAACTAAATGCAAATTTCAAATTCAGCCGTTCAGCACACAAACTCTTACACAATTTCCACACTTTTCGCCAGTATTTTTACCCTGGCAACCGTCTTGGCTCAAAGAAAAACTCCTCCCAAAGATCCCCCACCCATCCGATGGGATCCCATGCAAACCATTGCATATCCCATCCCATCGCCCCACTCAGAATTCTTTGGAGCGGTGTAAAATCATTATTCGTCACGCTCAGATTGCCGTACTTGAACGGCCAGGTAGACGTGTTCGCATACAACTCTATAACTCTGTCACACTCACCTGGTCGTTTGCATTTCGAAGTTCTCAAGGAAAAACTATGACAGCCGTTGGCGGGTTATTGAGGTGTGAATCCACATCGGGAATGGGAGGGGTTCAGGTGAGTGATTTTGGCGAAAAAGATTGGTCGCATTGTTTGGGAAACCGTTTTTACTTTCGTATAACAGTTCGGAAAATATATTTATGTATTCGGGATGATTTGTGTTTATATGATATAACTTTGGCTCAAACGATTAGTTAATTAGTAAGTTGTCAAACCTATTTCTTATTATTTTGAGACATATGTATTTTTTTTACCACTATAATAGAACTAGACTTTATGCCACATTTGAATTTTCCTAGTACAAATTTGTACAAAAATACTAAAATCGGGGTTAGTTCCAAAAGAACTTAGGGTTTTAATTAAATAGGTGTAAAATATATTAAAGTACAATGTACTTTATTTAATGATGATTTTTAAATATTTTTACGAATAAAATAAGTTTTGGGCGAAGTTTGCCGATAAAATCTGAACACCTGTTGATTCTGGTCGATTTTCTTTTGGCCAACTTGCTCTGAGCCAGTGATTTCGGGTGGAAAACACGTGACCCTCATACACTCGTGCCATTAATGGGAACTTTAGGCCCGAACAAAAGAACAAACGAAACGGTATAAATTAATTATGATCAAAAACATTGCGCATTTATCATCATTCATTCATATTAACTTGGCCTATCAGCATTTTTCATCATTGCCTCAAATCGCGGCCCATTAAAGGCCGGAAAGAAATAAAGCGAAATGAATATGAGAATAATAAAAATTAAGGCAAATATGCAAAGGGCGACACGCTACGTTGACTGTTTGCTCTGAGCTGGCCAACAAAATTTTGATGACGGCCTCCGAAAGGAAGTCAGTTTTTTTTTTGGTTTGGTTTTTTTTAAGAAAGGAGGAGAACCTTCGCAATTGCACAAATTGCCTCAGCGAAGGGAGGCGAAATTCGGGAAAAGCTCCGACAAGGAAAAGGAAACTCCTTGGCTCCATTAAAAGTTGGGTCATTTGACATCGGCCGCGTTAGCCCCGCTGTTACGTCCCCGAAAAAAAGAAGTTTTAATGGCCTTTTTACGAAATCTTCTCTGGGACACGTAAGCCCTTTTGTCAAGCTTCTCTTTCGCGTGGAAAAAAGAAAGCACCAGTAAAGAGTGACGTCAGGAGAGGCATGCAAAAAGAAGGCTGCACTGCAAAAAATCCCTACTACGGACTATAAAATAAACTTATTACAAATATGTTCATTAGCCGCAAGTTGAAAAGTATTTTCTTTTGTATTTGGAAAATTAATTACTTTAAAAAATGTGTTTTCTAGTAAATAATTATTTATTACAAATATGCACATATTAAAAAATAGAAGATCGAATTAGATTGCAAAATTAAGTACATTTTCTGATTTACAACTTTTTTAGTATATAGAATGGTAAAACGATTCAACATAGATGTAAAAACTATACATTTTTAAATAAAACTGGTATATAAATGTATAATTTTTTAAATATCAATTACATCAAAATTATTTGAGTCTGGACGTCATTTTAAATCAGGTCTAGAATTATCCAAATTTTTTTCCGTGGAGATAATAAATAATCTGAGAGCGAAAAAAAAAATGGGAAGTGAGAGACGACAAGAAAGTCATGCAAAAATAATGTAATAATGGGGTTAATAGTATGCCATTTCAAATCAATAAATGTCTGAAAATATGGAAATACACATAGATAAAAAACTATACAATTTATGCTCGATTTGGTCAACTTATTTATATTAATTTTTTTACAGTTAAAAAAATAAAAAATTGAAAAACTTGTGCAGGTCCAAATATTTATTTATGCGGAAGATTAAATGGCAACATATTTTGCGGGAAAAAAATTAGTGAAATGTTATCAGCAAAAAATTAAAGTATATACCTATTTTTAAACTTATATATTACTTTATTTAAATGGT